CTTTGTTTGAGAAGTCGCTCATTAAATAGGAAAGCGGAGAATGACAATATGCTCATTTATGGATTTTGGTTATCTCTGGCGAACACTACTTTCATTTCATATTTAAATATTACGGTTGCTGGAAAATAAATTAGTAAGATTTTTTTACTTTTTTATTGAAAACGCAACTCGTCCGTGCATATCACTAACTGAATGTATGTAAAGTCTCGGAAAATACCCCATTTCGCTTTCTATATTGTTTAAATGTAAAATGGATGAAACAAAAAGTTACTAGATTTTGGCACGTCGTAGAATAATTACATTTAGAATTTTTCAATTTGTATATTTCGATTTTTCAAAAGTATTCAACAAAATGGTGAAAAGATTTAGTGATCAAGCAAAAACTTTAATTCTAAACGTAGTTTCCTATTTTAAGAGACTGATCTATTTGCGAGGCTCTAAAGAGGTACAATCAAATGGCTGCAGAGGCATTAAATATTTCACAGAAAACTAGCTATAGATTTAGTAAACCAACAAATTCTGATACAGAGTAGACATGTGAAAATAATATCTAAAAAAATAAGCCAAAGTAAAACAAAAGTCAATTCTTTAAAATTAAGTAAGTTGAGGCAAGTAAGATGTACGAGGGTGCGCAACATGTAGGGGAGAGTTCCCTTGAAATTAGGGGCGGCTACTCTTTAAGCATGGCCGCGCGACCCTCCTCAAAAATGGACCGTACACGGCTACATCAAGAGGCTGCAATCTATGGCTGCAGTGAGCTTTAAAATGAGTCTTTTTTTCTGGCAAAATCCACTACTTGAAAATTCATATGAGTCGTATGATTGTCCATAATAATTAACCCTTTATTTTCGGTAGTTGAATGGACACACTCACAAAATATTTCAGGGATTAGCCACTATTTCTTCGATCATCCAACCAGATGAATTAGCCATGCCCTTAGATTCAATGCGTATCCCTTTTAAAATGTTATCTTTGTAGTATACTCTCGAAAAGATAAATACAGGAGGAACTGTTCCTCATGATACACTAATGAAGAAAAGAACAGTTACAAGACTTCCTCTTTCCCCTTATTCTATTTGACCCACTTGCTTTGAACCTCGTACAGCTATTACTTTGAGACAGTGTAGGCACGTTCCAACTTCTGTAACTTTGAAACGCAATTTTTCGGAACCTGCTGGTAATACATATATTTTGGATTCTTTAAAAACCGTGGTCGTAGAAAAAAAATAGTATGCAACATGTGCTCAAAGCACTTTGCGCACTTATTGCACAAACTACTATATTTTTGAAAACCATCAATATTTCAATACCAGATTCGAAATCAGTGGAATATCTACTGATTTCAATATTGAACCTGTAACGAATAAAAAGCCGTTTTTCAGCACACATCATAACCAATTTTGAAAATTCCTTCTAGAATTATATATCTGAAAGAAGTTTAGCATTTTCTGAAAGTCAAAATAAACAATACAAGTTCGAACATTCAAAATGCCTCAGAAGCTTCTTTTTACCTAATATTTTATAAAATTGATATTCCTGAATTCACTGAAAAATCCAAAACTCGCATTAACTTCAAAACCAGCAGGATCGCATACCATAATCGTCGAGTCGTAAACTGAAAACTGCGAAGTTCTTCCATATTAAAATGCTCAAAACTTCTGAACTTTCTTTCGATGAGATAGATTCGGTTAACCGAAATGCATTATTTTCTCTACTTTACAGTTTGGGAGGACTATAAAGGATTACTAAATTCTCACCAACATAAGCGGGTTAAAAAAGAATTCTTTGAAATGTAAAGAAATGCGCCATATTTAAAATTGTTTTAATACACTTTGATGTTGTTTTTGATGTATTAGAAAAGCTCTCAAAATAATTGAAAAAGGAACATCTCATAATTGAACAAACATATACAGCCATAAAAATTCAATATATTCTCCTAAAGAAAGTCGAATGAATTATATTAAATATTTTAGTTTAACATCTTTGCCGATGTTTTGTTGACATAAAGCACAACTACGCTCTCACGACTTATTTGATCTTTGTCATACATAAAATTAAATGTTTACTTTTTTCTACAATGTGAATGGATCGATAGCTCCAAGACATTTTTATAAACGTATCACCAGGTCGGCTCGTGGTAATTTAAAATTTTTAATTGTCAAAAAAGCATTGCCGTACCATAATTTTACCTATAAATGTCAAAGAAAGGCCCTTATGACGACAAATAAGCCTACCAAATTTTATTTAAATCGGCTGAAAGGTTTTTCAGTAATTGATAAAAAACGATTTTTTTTTTAATTTTGACAACCTGTATCTAGAAAACAAAGCAAGTTAGGTCATACGATTATATAAAAAAAATTCTTATTGTTGGCTGGTAAATACGCTCTTAAAATCTTTCCACTCAATTTTGAATCATCCTGTATATCAATGATTGGAAATATTCGTATGCTCCGCCTTACTTTGTGACGTCACGCCTTGATTATGTGCGAGGCACAAAATAACGTGATTTAAGTGATTTTAAGCAGATACATTAAGCGTTTTCGTAAACCTACTATATATTACAAATCCAGATTACTGTGTTTAGCCGACATATCTCGTGGATCACTGAATTAAGTGTCGACAGTTTACGAACTAGTTGGATTATGGATTTTGTTTACTGAAGTTTGTTAATTTCTACGAAACAGTCAATATTATGAACCCATATTTGGTTAAGAACCATTTTAATTAAACGACTAATGTTTTTACATTTGTATAGTATGACTAATGAAGTTGCAATATGAGCATCTAGCCAGAATGTCTTCTTCTTTCATAAAAATTACAAGTTAGAAATAAAATGTGAGAAAAACTTCAAAATTAGATAGCAGACATCAAAAAAGTTATGTTATTCCTCTATAAAATCATAAGGTGTGCATGCGGATCTTTTACTAATCTACTCATTGAGATGATCACAAAATATTGATCTCGATTACAAAACTTGATCAGTAATTTACTAGTTTCCGAACACGGATAGGGTTAATAACTCTAGGTAAACGAAGAGTAGGTTTCATAATGTTTCTGATCCGAGTAAGTTTCCGAAAACGCCTATTTTTTTGTTTCACGAATCTGTTGACGTGTTGACCTCTCTTTTTATCTACAGGCTTTCGCGAAAACCTTGCGCTTACTCAGAATAGTGCACTATAGAGACGCGATTATCGAGAGCGCAGTGGCGTACCCAAAAATAGAGATTAACACGTATGAAAAAAATAAAATTATTAATATTGAATTTATGTTATTTATTTTAAAATAATGTGTTTTTATGAAATGTAACTGGGTGTTCACTGCACAAATGAACCAATGGAGAAACCACCCCCTGTGTATCACATTCCACGTCGTTCGTTTAATATCATAATTTTCAATTTTAATAATAAAAATAAGTCTAGCACTAAACAAATAGAATCACAGAGGCTCAATTAATTAAGGTGATTACAGCACCTCTTATAATTTTCGGACAAGAATATCTCAAAAAGTAATTTTTTTAAAAAATTAAAATTTTGACAAAATATATTAGGCAATAATATCTAGAATATGCATATATTTTAAAGTTTTAATTTCTTCCAGTTTCCGAGAAAAAAATGAAAGGGCTTTAAATTTTGAAATATCATAATGAAAATAAATGCATTTCTCAACAGCACTATTCCTAATATATAATTGCCAAATTTGAGCTCCTAATGTCTTGTTAATGATTTTTTAAAATTCGCCAAAATTAGTGGCAAAAACGCTTCGTTAAGTGCTGTCTTCTGTTGTAACGCGACTATAACTATCATCATTCGTTTCCTGAAATGATTTATACTAGTTTACACCAGTTTACACCAGAAGATAGCACTTAACGAGGCATTTTAGCCACTAATTTTGGCGAATTTTAAAAAATCATTAACAAGACATTAGGATCTTAAAATGAGATTATAATATTAAGAATAGTGCTGTTGAGGAATGCATTTATTTTCATCATGATATTTCAAAATTTAAAGACCTTTGATTTTTTTTCTCGGAAACTGAAAGGAATAAAATTTTAAAATATATGCATATTCTAGATATTATTGCCTAATTTATTTTGCCAAAATTTTAATTTAAAAAAAAATCACTTTTTGAGATATCCTTATCCGAAAATTATAAGGGGGTGCTGTAATCACCTTAATACTATTTCACATGTTTATCTGAAGACAATATTTTACTAATCAGCCGCAGCTTATGGCATCCTTTTAAATTCCTTTAAATTGGACTGTGGCGCTATCGCTGTCCTCTCTTGTTATTTTTACGTTTTGCTTCTGGTATGACATCAAGCCCGCGAAATTTAAATAAAAGAGTGGTTTTAGCGTAAGGGTTGACGTTAAAAAATAATAAGGTAGTATCGGCGGTAGATATAAACCTTATATACTCAGATATGAATTTAAAAAAAGTGAATTTTTTTTTTTAATGAAAGTGCTACCATTTTAACAGAATAAGCTTATTATAGTTTCATCTGGTCAACCGTTTTTCAGACCCGTTGCTTTGATATATTGTAAAACCCAAATAATCAAATTATTTTTTCAAATCTTTACCGAGTGTTCAAATAATCATGACCCTAACATCGCCGCTAAGGGGCGTAATTGATGTTAAGTTATGTCAAAGATATGAAAATTATAATATTTTCGACATTTTACTTAATTTTACATAAGCATTACGCCATCTAGTATCTAAGTTAGAAAGAAACTTTCTAGTGATTCCTTTTGATCGTCTTTACATTTAAATTTTGTTCCCAAAATTCTTAGACTCATAGTTTCTAAAATACATACTGTATTCTACAATCGCCGACAGTCAGCGTTCATTTTTCTTTAATCACCCAGTATATATATTAAAAAAAAAACATTTGTTCTATTTTTTTAGATATTTTAAAATTATTACAAATTTAGTAGGAAATATTAACTTTAAAAGATTATTTATCATCGTTATAATATTTCTGACTTTTATATTTTTTGTTTCAGAACCGATCTAAGGGTTGTGAGCGAGGCTGTTCAAAGTAAAAGTTTAAACAACCTCATAATGGTAAGTACAACTCTTATGTAAAAATATGTAAAAATGTATTAGCAGAGTTTCTTGCTTGCTCTGCAGTTTTCTCACGCATTTGTGCAAAGGGATATTAGAAGGTCTTCATGGCCAATACCATTGCGGCTGTTGCTTCCCTGCATTTTTTCCGACGCGTGATATTTTATTTTAGGTTAAGTAGTATTTGTTAATTAGGCATTCCAACGACCTGTCAAACAATACCTGCCAGTGGGAAGGTCTCGTATATCTAAGGGGGTAGCGACATAGTCTTGCATCTTGGACGCTATTTTTATTCGAAATATCAGTCGTCAATCCTGCCAGTTTTTAAAAAAATGTACAAGCAGTTTTTTTAATTAATAGTTTTATAGTGTTCGATATAAAATATTTAAATGTTATCCATTATTCATGATTTTACGTATTGTAGATAGAATACATCGTATGTCGCAACCGTCAGATCTACCAAACCTGCCCACTGGTAATTCATTTGTTTGGAATGCCTAATTGCATCAGGTCCACGATGAATGACATACATTTTTCAGCACAAAACAGTGCATAGTACTAAAAAATCCACCAGAGGTCGGTAAAAGGTGAAGTACCGCAAATGATGAAAAAAATTAATGACTGCGAACTGTCAGAAAAATTCAGTTAATTTTATCAAGTAAAAAATACGTCTGTATCCATTTTTTTTTAAATAATGTAATTTTTAATGTCTACTAATCATATTCTGTATAACTAACGAAGTAAAAAGTGAAAACAACGAGAAGAAAAATACTACCACATACCTATAATAATAACCACCCATATATTTCATCAAAACAAAGTGAGACAACAATAATTAAATAATAAGGAAAATAGTGTGTATTCTTTCCTACAAAATTGAAAATATTGTTCAAATGGATTTAAAAAAAATAAGTGTTGACATTTTGATGTTATGTTTACAGAAGAGTAGGTATTATAACTGCCACATTTTAGATAATTAATAAACACATTCCAAAGATGCATGCTTATTTTGTTACCAATCCTAAACAATCTCACATGGAAAGATCTCCTAATTGCAGTAAAATGTGGTTCTTTTAACTTAGCAACTTGATGGAAAGGGTAGGTTAGGTTAGGTTAGGTTAGGTTAGGTATGAATGAGTGTTGTAAACTTTTTATTATATCTATACGCAGAGGTGCACCTGAAGATGGAAAAATTGTATTTTCCGAAACATATATAATGTGCTAAACAATAGAAAATAAAAACATTCGACCGAATAAACGAAGGAAATTTTTATTTATATAAAATTTTATTCGTTTCTTTTCTTTATCTACAAAATGTTATATAAAAGCCTAAAATAGCAATTATTAAAATTCAGACATGCATGCTACCCTCTCCATTTGCAAAAAATCGATATACAAAAATATATCTTTGTGACACTAGACGATTTAGACTATATATTCTTCGGATGTAATAAATTCGGAAATCACAGCGATCAACTTGTTGAAAACCTAATAAAATGCAAAATTTACCCCCTCTTCAATTTATTATACCTTCTGTCCCTTAACAAACTATCGATCTAAAACGCCCTTTTATTACTTATCCCCGAAAAGTAATTTAAAACTTTAGAATTAGGTTAGACTTGTCACCAATGTTACTTTACCTTACAAAAAATCCCTTAAACCGCGGTCTACCCATTCTGTGTTCGTCAGTCACCCTGACCGACCCCTGGATGTCAAGAGTTTATTTCTAGTTCCATCCCGCATGCAATTCTTTAAAAAACTCTGGTATTGTCGATTAGGTTATCTTTAGGTTACAATATTAATCACTTTTTTTATTATTATATTTTTTATTCTTGAAAAAAAAATAAAAAGCGAAAAAAAAGAGATCTATTCAAAGAGATAGACATCCATGCACGCGCGCTTGAGCAGAAGCCAATGTGCCCGTGTGTGATTAGCATATTCTGTAGCTGGCTAACATATTCTGTAGCTGGCTAAATTGATATAACCTTGCCCAAGAGCAAAAACGTAATTATTAGCGTTTTTATTATTTTATTTCTACATCGTCATCGTCCACTTCTACTTTTGATATTTAAAAAAATTAACATTTGACATCAGTACATAATTCTTTTCTAAGATCAAACTGTTGATCTTATTTTTGTCTAGTCTAGTTACTGAACTAGACTAGACAAAAATAACTAGACCTCAACAAAGATGAAAAAAGCATTATTTAAACTAACAACAATAAACAATATTGCAAAATTATTAGTTATAAATAAAATACAAATATTTGTTCGTAAATATAATATGTCATGCTTCGTGAACATTAGTATCATGACCTGGTCAATAATCTAATGGCCAGATCTTGAAGTTGGTTACATGTTGATGTTAAAACATACTTTATCTAGCTCTTATAATAGTCAAACATGTACCTCACCGTCTAACGACCTCTGGTCGATTTGTTGAAACTACGTTGTGTTTGGTGGGTGCCATATCGTCTTTTTATATGGGATTTGAGGGAAATTTCGTGCTCGGTTTTCAGTAGTTTTCAGTTGTTTTCAACGAAAAAATAAGCAATTTGCATAGTTTATGTTGTTTGGTTGGATGTAAAAGTGCTGCTAAAAACAACAACAAAAATTGTCATTTACATTCATTTATCTATGTACCAGCAATCCATAATATCTCTAGATGTTGGTACATATGTATATATTATGTACCTATAGTCCAATAGTCCTCTACATTACTTTTTTTGTTGTTACATTCATATATGTACATGTATCTCTCCACCACCTATTGCAAGTAAAAAATTATGAAAATTTAAATAGCTTTGGGCCCAGATTTTCTTGACTTTAGTTTTTTAATGTTTTATGAAATATGAAAGAAATGCCCTCAGTGAAAATAATGGACAAACAATAATTATTATTGAGGAATAAGGTCACTGAAGCTGTAAATAAGTTTAAGAAGAAACCACTTTTTATCCAAAATATGCGATTTCCTCTGGTAAAACGGAGCAAAATGTGTATTTTTAATTTGTAATTCAAAATAGCCTTTTATATGCACTTTTGGATCCCACCTTAATGTTACATCTTGTAGATCAATAAGATTGTAAATTAAAAGAAAAAACATGAAATATACTTTATATTATATAATAATAATAATAACAATAATCTGGCATCAAAAAATATTTAATGGCGCATTAAATTTATTTTAAAGATTTCTTTCTGAAAATATATATTTGTAGCTGTAACTAGCGATGAGTGATCCTAATGTAGGACCTGCCCAATATACCTAAAATGAATTAAATCTCAAAATAAGTATCTAATAACAAAAGTTAAAAAATATCTTACCCAATGAGAAACATAATCTGAAGCCCATACAGCTGGGCCAAAACTTCGGGCAGGGTTCATACTAGCACCAGTATATGCTGCCTTAAATAACAAAACAATAAGATTTATTTGATGTCAAAATATTTCTGGTTTGTTATCCAGAATGGAAGCTAATTTAATGCAGATGTTTAGGTAACAAGTTTTTCATTACATACAGAATGATTAATCTTTGTATAAGACAAAAACTAGTTCACTTTCGTATCGCTACCACCACAGGTATGGTACATATTTTTAGGAAATAATCTTCTCAAGCGAAATTGTTTAATGTATTGAGAAGAAAACGAAGAAACAACATAAATCTACGTATATTTTGTAGGAAATTGATTTTTGAACTTGTTATAAATAGTGAACAAGCGAACAATTGTTCTTCCTCTTTAACTTTATTACAACTTCAAATACTATAATGAAAGAGAGTGTAATTTGGTCCAAATTTGCTATAATTGACGTGCATTTAAAGGAGCAATTTAATTTCGCGTTCAACTAACTGGAAATCTAAAATAGAGAAAAACAAGCTAAAGTACAGCTGTAAAATGAACTTTAACTGCTGAATTTTGTTGCCTTGCCTTTGTCATAAAACGACATCAATATAAGGAAGGCTTCCAACCATTCAAGAGTTTTAGGATTCTTTGAACAAACTCAAATGATTAGGTACATTAGGTGTGAGTCAATGTCGAAATTTCACATATCTACTATGTCCTTCAAAAGAACTCAAGATTCCTCGAAGCAACAGGAAAACATTCTTCGTTTATAATCCGAGTAGATTAGATTGCGTTGCGTTTAATTTTATGGAAGGTAATACACTTTAATTAAATTAAAAGTTTCTTTACAAACATGGAGTTCATATCAAAAAAAGTGACAGATGGTATATTCCCTATTTAAAATTACGAGGTTGGAGAAGTGAAAGGGAAGGGGTTGGCACATGTCTGTATTGTAAAAATGTATGTCCTTTGATCTTTTGAAATAAAAAAAAGATTCCAGCATTTTCTTAAAATCCAATGAGTACTGCCAAATATCAGGGTGGACTCTGTATAGTAATAACGTATTTGTTTATAAGCACAAGTTAGCTTGTTTTTTATTCGAGCATACATTGGACTGCGGTTTGGATGAGTTGAAATGGATCCCCAGTTAGTGTTACAATTAGAATCTGCCTTCAAATATCGATTTGTATGTTCGAATAGTTGATCGAATGCTGAAGATAATAAAAGTAGGTCATTAATATGTAATATTGGCCTCAAGCTGAGACTTTGAGGGGGATTGGTTTTTACTAATTTTTTTGTACCTGTTTGATACGAACGGGTTTCCTGTTATTTTGGAAAAACATCATATAATTACATTATTTGGTCCAGTTGCTTTAGTAGTTTTTAACTAATCATTTTTGTTCACTATTCAGCAAGTTTTACGTGCTGAGAAGTCAATACAGTCTGATTCACAATAGGAAGACTTTTGACTAGACGAATAACGTTTCCGGTATAAAAAATCGTTTTATGAAACTGAATGCGGGAAGAATAAGGAATATTTCTACTCCTGAGCTACAAATTATTCACCATAATATACACCAAATGGAAGCGTCAGTTGATATACGTGCCTAGTGCCCTTTAAAGTTTTCTCCATGAAATGACTATGTTCGTACGCAGCACCACTTCTAATGGACAAACTAACATAACGTGATTTTTTAATTATCACACCTTATACAGGTTGTTTGTTTTTTTTTTTTGTAACAGAACTTTAGCACTAGATAGAACTTTTAAAATTAATATATTACACTCTTTACTGATTAAAATGACCATAACCCTTTTTGAGTGTACTTTATTGCTTTTTAATAAAAGTCCTGTGCTTTTCTAAACAAACAGGTACCCTTTTAAAAATTTAATAAAGTTAGCTGTTTTCGAGATACAGCTTTGTATCATTAATTTGTCATAGGATTTATTTTAATCTCGAGACTCAAGAAATCGAGTGGAATGGTTTCTATCGCAGTCTGACGCGTGGAGGATAATTTCCAGATTTTCTAGACTGAGCTTCTAGTCAGAGTTATTTTTTCTGTTTTTCCTTTTTTTGGTACAAAAATGTCAGGATATCCTCGAAGAAATTCCTTTATTTTCGTTTTCTTTAAATGATTTAGAGATTGACCAGCAACTGCAATGATTTGCTCGAATTTGTCGTTAGTATTATCAGAAGTTGTTGTCTGATGAATTATAAAAGTTACTGGTACACAGGTTCTGATTCTGGTCTCTTTCTTGATCATTTGGGTGATCATTAAGGTTTATGAGACGAACTGGAATTTCTTTGGCAGTCGTGACCAAACCCTTGCAGATCAGAATTCATCGTCCAACCTCTTCATCGTGGTTTCAAGATTCTATCATGAAATGTGTTTCTTCTTCCATAGTTTCTTGAAGCCGTGCAACTATATTGGTTTCACTTTTACCAGGTACCTCCGTATACTCCTGTATAGCAACTGGCACGGCACTGTCTCCATATGGATGTAAGAATACCTCTTCGGCACCAACTCTGATCACTCTGTTCTTAAAAATATTAATCCATGTAAGTTCATTACATCCATTCCTAATATAACATCTTCGATATCAGCCACAATAACAGTATGAGTAAACTTTTATGTACCAATTCCTAACTGGACCTGGATTTCCCTGTGGATGTTGGTACTTTCACCTGTGGCAGTTCGCAGTCGCAATCTTGCGGTTGTTTGTGGTTGTTGGTCATATAATGGTCCTAGTTGCTCTAGTTTCCACCAACAGTGTATACTTTTTACCATTTACTTCGCCGTTTACGTATACACTATCATCGCGACATTTCAAAGAGGCTATCAGTATGAGAGTGTCTTTGGAACGATTTCGGCTCGAAGCTGCCCCCTCTAGGATGACCCGCTCTAGTTTTCCTACGGCGCGTTGTCTTCATTTGTTGGGACCCTAGGGCGTTTGCACGAACTGCGTACATGCCTGCGTACAATTCCTGAACCTGATAGTCTTCGTCTTTATCTTTTCTTCAGCAAAGCTCTTCATTTTGTTAACTAGTTGGTCGAGTTTATCTTCTACATTTTCTTCTTTTACAGTCCTCACTTTACTGTATCTTCCAGAAGCCTGACTCATACTCTAGAGCAACGGACAAGACATCAAACAATGTTTTGTGACGGGCTAAGCAGAGTGTTTTCTGCATTTCGTGGTCAACAAATGTTTAGACTACCAAACATTCCATCATGTTTTCTGGAGCTGATGGGTAAGCAAACCGTACCAACCTGGCAATATCTGCTTCATATTCTCGTTTACGTTTGCGATTCTTTAACCATGACAGGTACAAATGCTCCAATTATTTTATGCAAAAATAAAACAGTCCAGAAAGAACCAACTTTGACTAGAAGCCCAGTCTACAAGTTCTGGAAATTATCCTCCACGCGTCAGACTGCGTTAGAAAACATTCCACTCGATTTCTCGAGTTTCGAGGTGGGTCTCCATATGGCCAACGCTAGATTACTTGTCGCGGGTACGAACAACAAAAAACAGAGTCGACTTCAGGTGAGCTTACACTATTAATAAGTTCATCTCTTGTTTGGATAATCATCGCTTTAGATCGCATTGAACAATAAAAAAATACACAAACTACACTGAGAAAAATTTATAGAATAGAATAATTTATTAACTATTTTACATAAATCAATATGTTTATAGAAAGTCATATAGTAGGTAACAAAATTTGAGAATATTAATAAAAACAATAATTATTAGGTAGGTACTATAATCTAGGTTAAAATTTTGATCAGGCAGATTGACGGTATAAACCGAAAATGAGCTATATAATCATTGACAGAGTAAAAACAATGTCTCAATAGATATTTCTTTATTATTTTTAATTATTACTTAAAAGTTCTGCGGTTTTATGTTAGGTAGTTATAATTTAGGGAATTAATTTTAGATAGACATAAACTAAAACGATTATTTCCAATACAACGTATATTACGTGTCTTGTAATGGGGCATGTTCAAAAATTTTGAAATTTTTTTTATGAATAGTAGAGTTAAAAATAAAACTACATTTTTTTTATTTTTTTTTTTATCTATTCATTTGCCGGAGTTATGAATTTTTTAAAAATTTATGACGTCACCGGGAATAGACCAATAGGAGCTAGCGCACAACGTTGCCGGCTAGAAGGTTTACGAGAAGTGATGTACGTTCGTTTGTGTACTCCTTCTTACTTTTAGACTTCTAAAACATCGTTAAACAAATATCTTTTAAATATATAATATCAAATGTGTTTTGAAAGTATTATTTCTGTTTAAACTTTTACCATATTTAACGTTTCATTGTTTTCAAAGTCACTTAATAATTCAGAAAATGGCAAAATGGCAGCACTGTGTATGGCATCTGTCATCATAGTGTCTCGATCAAGAATTTATTTGGAATTTGAGTGTTTAATTTTGTACTTTTTATAAATATTATGACTACGAAAAAGTGTTTTGTTCCAGAATGTGATAATGATTCACATTCATTTTCAAAAATATTTATTAGTGTTCCTAGAAATTTGGAAAGAAGAAAATCAACCTTCTACTAGCGATGTTTCTCGTAAACTTTTTAATAAAAATACACCGGATTATCAAGATATAGCAGCAATTTCTGCTAATTGTCCCCTTCAGGAAATTGAAAATTAGGCTACTATAAATTCTTAGGTGAATAACCTAAAAACCCTTCTGGAAGAAAATGCAGAATCTCCTGAAAGTTTTGAAGATACCGAATTTATTCTTCATTTTGTGGAAGAACTAGTGATAAAGAAATAATAGAAAAATGTGGGTATTTAAACAAACTGGTTCCTGGATCCCATATAATGGCAGATAGGGGTTTCAGAATATTCAGCTACTTGAAAACATGGGATGCACTTTAGTAAAGCCACACCTAGTGTATCACAGAATGAAAAAAGTTCTCCAGAAGATGTACAATTAAGTAAAAGAATCTAGAAAAGAATAGCATCTCTAAGAATACATGTGGAAAGAGTTAGTTAATTTAATTTAACATGTTAAAACCACATTCGTGTGTGAATTTTAAGCAAGTACATTTACTTAGTAATATCTGCATAATTGCTTGTTTACTTACAAGAACCTATTTTGTAAGAGTAAATATTAATTTAATAAATTTTTTTTGTTTTTTTAATTTAATTTACCTAATTATCACATTTCAGGGATTATAATGAGTTTTTAAACAGCCAATGTAATTTTTTATAAAATTTTAACTTTTCGAACAAATCAAAGAGGAATGAGTGCCTGTATATGCATAGATTTTTTTGGGACTAAAACTACCAAAACAAAGGCACCTATTTACAGCAGTTTAAAATGAAACAATTTGACAAAAACGCCTATGTCACAGTGATAAATATTAAAAACAACCAAGTTCAGTTGAATGTGGTAGCAAAGTCTATATATTCCAATAAATCGGGTAACTACATGTGGTATCACTGGTGATAAATTTAAAAATATCACAATTCTTGCCACCTTTTTCAAAAAACCAGAAAGTGTGCCTTCATACCAATCCTTTATGAAAATGACAACAGTGATAAATGTGAAAAAAAAAAAATTAATGTTGCTATTCATTATTACGATAGTAAAACATGTTTGCAGTTCCGTTTATTTGTTATGAAAATCTAAGTAAAAACAACCAATGTCAAAGGGTTATAATTTTTTTTCTGTCGAACCAAATATATCACAAAATTTAAAAATTGATCATAGGTCAAGCTAAAGTAATATCTTTATTGATACTAGCTTTAAAAAAGGAGAAAGAATAATATTGACTTAAGTTATTATTATTAACATTGGTGATTTTTAATAAAAACTCTTCAATTATTGTTTACAAACAAAAATATAAAAATTGTGAAAATTTTATTTATTAACCTTTTAATAAAAAATGAGAAAAATGAAGTAAAAAAACAATTTATTTACAAATAAAAAAAATCCTAAGAATATAAAAGTACTGATATATTTTCCTGTAGTGGATGAAGAGGTTTCTTTAACAATCTAGCCAAGTGTACATCAATATTTACGCATTTTGATAAATTAGAGCCTTTCCAATAACACTGAGTAGATGTTACAGATGGTTCCTCACTTCTTCTATGAAGCCACATATTTACAACCAACTGAAAAAAATAAAAGGATTAGATATGCAGTTACAAAATAACTATATAACCAGCTACAAAATGCCTTTATTTTATGTAACAAGACGAGTAGAGCTTTACTAGCTCTGAACGAATCCAGTAAAGAACCTCGGATTTTCAAAACTTAAAAAAAAAACAACCTCACCACATTTTTGAAATATTATAGAGCTTTTCAAAAAAAACTGCTATTTTTAAAAATACAATTTTTTGTTTAAACAGCTATGTCTCATTTTAGGCTATTGAGTATTATAAAATAAAAAATTACGGGATGCTTTGTTAGCTTCAAACGAATCCAGCAGAGCACCCCAGTTTTTTTTTAAACCACACCACGTTTTTTGGCTCCTACAATATTATAAAATATTCGAAATTTGGCATTTTAAAAAAGATTCGCAATTCCTTGCTGACTTCTAAAAACAAATGTACTTACCACATTTTTAGGATTTTAAAACAGCCTAAACATGTGTCATAAGTAGTTGTTTTTATATATATATATATATATATATATATATATATATATATATATATATATATATATATATATATATAAAAAAAAAACAAATTAAAAAACTGAAGTGTCCTGCTGACTTTGTTCCAACAAAGCACCCTGTATTATTTAAAAATAGCAATTTTTTTAGTAAAGTTTTACAATATTTCAAGAGTCTAAAAATATTCTAAAAATGGGGTGTGGTTTTTGAAAAAAGCTTTAAAAAAACCGAATTGCTCTGCTGGCTTCTTTCGAAGGTTAGCAAGCACCATGTATTTTTAAAAATATAATATTTCAAGTTGCTGTTTTTACAGAAAAAACTTTATAAAACAGAGGTGCTTTGCTGACTTCGTTCGAAGCTATAGAGCATTTTAAGTTTTGCAAAAAACGAGGAGCATAAAATTTTTGAAAAGGGTATAAAAATAGCCTATTCTTTGGTATCATAATTATTACTAGGTTCACTAACAAAATCTGTTTCTAGATTATTTTAACACTTGCTGCGATTACAAAAAATGTCTATATGTCAAAATTAGAAAAAAAATATTTATAGTAATAAAGGGCCTTATACACTGTTTATTATATGTAATATAAAAACAAAAAAGCATAATAAATATTACAAACCTTGACATGCAGCATATTGTGCACTAAAATTTTCATTTTTGTTAATTACAACATCAGAAGGTTTTTGCCGTACTTTATGTTTAGGTGTAATTTGTCTCCTTGTCTCTTATGGAAAAAGAAATTATCCCCATATTCTTGCTTGGCAGATCTAAAAATAAAACCTGAGATAAATACGTTTTACTTGCTCCATATTAACTGTAACTACCTACTATTAAAACAAAGTCTTACCTTTCTAACTTTTGTAAACTGAGTATTGTTAAAAAATGCAGTAATCATCTCGGTAATCATATTTTCGTTTACAATGGGTAAAACACTCGATTCAACTTTTATAAATCCAGCTGATTCATATTAATAATAAAATTAAACCAAAACCAGGGCTGGATACCAGCCCTGACCAAAACAAAAAACTAAGGTTAGGTGCTGTCAATTTTAATGTCACTTAGATGTGCGTTCACTTCGACATTCTGTGTGTCGGTTTGTTCGTTGGCTTGGTTTTGTATAAAAAAAAAAAACTTCGACACAAGATGATTGGTCTATTCCCGATGACGTATAATTTCAAATTTTAAATTTCAATTGGGCTTAATTTAAAAACTTTTGGCTTTTTTAACGAACTGACTATTTAGAATAACTTGTATAGCGACTAACTATTACAATATAATTTATAAAACAGCATATCTCACATGTGAACATGGCCCATTATGAATATCGAAATGTTTATAGTCATTTTAATACATAAAAAGTACAATATGTATGAAAATTAAAAAAATCCTATTGTAAAATTTAATTTGAACCTATGTTTACATATATAATATTTTTATATTAATTTTAAAAGTGTCATGCTATAAAAACAATGAAACACGCTGTATATAGAGATATATATGCTCAGTTTTATAAATCCTTAGGGGTTGTAGGCTCTATAACCATTGAGCCACCAGTCACCTATAAGTTTATTAATTTTATTAAAGATTTTACTTACTGCAGATATGTTCAGTGATACAACAACTAATCCAATTTTTAGTGGTACAGAATCCGATTTTTGAGAATTTCTCTTATCCCAGCTAGATGCATTTGCTACCACCAATATTATTGTTAAAATCGTTTCTATCCCAAAAGCCTACAAACAAAAAACGTATTACTTATTTTTCCATAGTAGAGTGTACTTTTTCCTGTATTTTTTCTGATAATATGGGAAGTCTTCCACAGACTTGTCCAGTAATATTAATAGTTAATAAAACCACAGAAAGAACAAACATGGACTAAAGAAAATGTTCTTACCTCGACATCAGTAATTCCTTGTCCTGGAGCATTAACGCATACTCCCCGACCGTAGCCTTTTTGGAATGCAATTTCCGGGGTCAATAACTAAAAATTAAGATAGTAAGAGATGTTATAGAATAATTACTCTTTTGTAAATTGAATTGAAAAATTAATTTGAAAAACATTCTTAAATATCATTGAAATTAAATAAGATAATAATTTATATAATGCATTCAATTCTCGTAAAAGCTCGATTCGGATGTTATTTTTAGACCTAATTCACCGAAAGCTCGATTCGGATTTTATTTTTAAAACATAACTAAGACCTAATTCACCGAATTTCGTAAGCACATAACTCATGTCTTTGACATACTCTGTGAAATCCAGTTCCGCAAAGGCACCCAAAAATTTGGCAACCGATGTAGGTTAGTGCTTGTTTCAAATTGATTTCTCCTAAGATATACGCTGAAAGTGTCACTACTGGATTTACGTAGGCGCCAGAAATATGTCCCAGCATCTGAAATAAAAAAAAAAGATTGGTATTGTCTTGTAAGAGATAGTATCGAAAGGGAAGTTAAAACTCACTTGAATAATATATTCGTAAAGTTTTCTTACTTTTCGAATTTATCATGTATCATGTTTAAATACCAAGCCAAGTCCACTTTAATAGAAATACAGGTTGTCCCGAAATTAGACGGTCATATTTTAACAGCGTAATATACATCTTATAAAAAGAAGTCTATTTTTATGTATGAGAGAGTATTAAAATAATAAAGCGTTCGTAATCCATAGGCGTACCACTTCTTTTAGTAGACAGTTAAAATATTTTTTGAAGTTATTCCTCGAGTATACATTTATATTTTCACCTAATTAACCTGCTTATAACTTCTAAACAGCTCAAGGTAAAAAAGTGCAATTTTTTCTAAAATGTTTTATTTTTCCACAAGGTATGTTAAGAACATTGTGTCAAACGGGTTATGTAGGTATAAGGGTTTAAACTTTGACTTTTCAACAACGTTGCGTTCATAAATAATAATTTTAATATAAAAACTACTTCTTACCTACAAATCCAAATCAGAATCGAAATCAGAAGATGAACTGTCGCAATATTTACAATGAGTGGCTCGATCATTTAATCAGTAAAATTGTCCAACTTCCACATTTTCTCTTCTTCTTTAATCGTATGATTTACTGCCTTTTCCCAGTTTTCAGGCTTCACATTATTTACAGCCTCCAAAAACAACTGTTTAACATCACTCATTTTAAAAGAATTATTTTTTCTTGAAACTTCCCCCTTTATCTGTGCCCATATCAGTTCAATCGGGTTTACTTCGCAATGATATGGTCACCGTCATCCCACGATTTTTTGCAATTTCGTCAATTTCATATTTTTTGAATTTCTCTTTATGAAGGGAACACAAATGATACAGTTCTTTTCTCACAGAACCGGGATGGAACTTAATATTCTTTGAATTTAGCCAATTCTGTAAATCTTTTTTAACCACTTGGTTGTGGGCATTTTTTCTATAAGTCTCGAGTGATAACTTGCATTATCCATTACTATTATACAGTTCCGAGGAAGAAGATCTATAATTTGTTCGAACCACTCTTTAAAGACATCAGCATTCATGTCCTCATGGTAGTCACCGGTACGAGTAGATTCAAAAGTCAATAAACCACCTTTAACAAAACCGTTTGAACTACCGATGTGTACTATTATTAGTTGGCGCCCCTTTCCTGATGGTGGATTTAAACCAGTAGATAAATTATTTAAAAAAGCCTGTCTTCGACTTGTAACAGTTTCATCTTGCCTAAATTTATTTGGTTTATGTCCCTCGTTGATCCATGTTTTATCTAAATAAAATATATTTCTTCTTTGGTTTCTCATTTCTTTTATAGTCCTTAGGTAATTTCTTCTCCATACTACAATATCGCTTCTTTCTATTAAAATAGACTTTCTGGAATGCTTTTTCCATAGAAAACCTATTTCTTTTAAAAGTTTACATAGTGTGCTTCGACTCATTTCAGGGTAATCCTTATCATCTCGAACCGTGGCAAGAACTTTGTCTACTGTCGGAAATTCTTTTCTAAAGAAGAACGCATGCACTTTCCTTCGAAGTCTTTCTTTCAAAAGATTTTCTAATTGAAATTTTGGTTTTCCTGGAGCTTTACGTGCTGTTTGAAACTCGCCACATTTCTCTTCTTTAACAACTCTGTAAATCGTAGATTTCCCAACACCAAGCGTACTACTAACTAACTCTCCACTGTGTCATCAACACTTTTACATAAATGTTTGTCTGTAAATGATTTAAAACAATTATTATTAATGTTTTTTCAACTGTTAAAGGACCGATTTTTTGTCGTTTTTCCATGATCACACTAGAATTCACACTGCACCTTGCAAGTTGCAACTAAACGACATTTAGTAAACTGTCAAGAATACACAACTTGGACCTCCTTACTAAATGGAAAACCTTTAATCGCATTTTCGGTGAAATTTGTTGGGAAGGTATTTATCTACTTATAATTCGATTACTGTAAGAAATTCTTGGAATTAAAATAAAACAAAATTGGCAAATAGGTACTAATTGAAAATAATCTTAAGATACGGCTATGTAATCTTTAATACACAGGGCTTTTGGCCTGTCCAAACCTTTTTCTATTGTTCTGTACAGCTTATGTTTATAAAGGACCAATAAAAGACCCAAAACTTGTAATAGCTCAGGTACATTTATAACAATTTTAGGAAATATTTAGATTATTCTGTAAAAATATTTAAAATGACCGTACTGTTTTGCATTAGAAATGTTGTTTTATTACTCTCTCATACATAAAAATAGACTATAAAAGTGGAGTAAAAGTTCATATAAATATAGGTCCGGAAACGTTTCGTTCTCGAGATAAAGGGTGTTACAAGTGAAGTCCTGATGGCACATTTTGTAAATAAACTTCTAATCCTATTAGGCCTACTCACCTACTATGAAAGTTAGTTATCTTAGGACAACTAAAGCAAGTGGAGGTTCTTATAAATATGGTAATGGATTTTTATATTATAAGCTCGCTCTATGTTCATAGCTGATAATAATTCCAGAGCGGCCTAGTGGAAGATGCATCTCTTAGCTAGGTCTTAGCTGTGTCGCTTATATGACACACTCGTAGAAATCGGATAGTGTTATATAATTATCGCTGAACATACATAAAAAAATATTTCGACGAATTCAGAACCTCCTCATTTTTTTTAAATCCGTTAAAAATATAATTTATTTCGAAATTTAACAATACCTGTATAACTACTGTAACTGCGAGTCCAGCTGCCAATTGGGGGTGAATACTGGGTACATTCCCCTGTACATCCATAGTCGTAGCGGTACATGATAAAAAGAGTAAAACGGCTGTTCCAAAAAATTCAGATAAACCGCAGATGGCTATGTCCTTAAGGCGAATTTTCTTCTCCACTTTTCCCTCTGTTTCTGAAAATACTACTAAAATCTTTAATGTAGCATTTGAAAATAATGTGGGTTCTAAAAATTATGAAATTAATAAATAATATAGTTGCTCTTACGAAATAATGAAAACTATTTTTGAACCGCTAAAGTAAAAACAAGTTTATTGAAAAATTAAAAAGGAGTGAACTAAATTAAAGTAAAAACAAAAATGGGAATGAATTTGTTAGATTTTAAGATCAATCATTCTAGTGTGCAGATTTTCGAAAACATTTACTGCTCGTACATTTTCTTCAAATGAAGGGGAAGAACGCGATTACAATACTCGCATTCGCTTATTAATATAAGACGAACGGGATGCGTTTAAGAGACTGCATCACTCACCAGCGAAAACAGTGAACTGGAAACCTTAAGGAACCATTTCGGAAGGCGCTACAGACGATAACAGAGGCGACGGCAATGACGACAGATGCATTAACGTTACGCTTCCCACATTTAGGAAGCAAGGAGACAGGTGACGCAACACCTACAGACCACAATTCGAGAAAACAATCAGTATTGCCAGACCTACTGTTTTTAAGAAGATCCACTGTTTTGGTCTCTGTTCTCCTGTTTTAGGCATGAAATCTACTGTTTTGGTCAACCTAACAAATTTTGTTTTTAATTTATTAAGTTTGCCTCATCCTTCAGCAAATGGTCAAAGAATATTTTGTCTAGTAAATTTGCTGAAGTAAAAGCAGCGTAATAAGAATCCACTATTGTAGGTTTGCTCCATAAAAAAACCTCAAAATAACCAATATGTTTTTATTTAAAATGTAATAAAGAATTAATAGGGCATCATAAAAAGAACATGCATGCCAAACACAACGTATTTGAATTATCTGATTTAAACTGATCTAAAAGAAGTAGGTACCTATTATTTTTCATTGGTTTCTTTTTTTGTTTGCGTACGTTAAGTATATATTAAAAATGTTATTATTTGTTTTTATTTTTTGTTTACTTTCTAATTTGGGTAGAAAAATGTTTATTTTTCGTTTCTTATTTACTTTTTTTTATTCTTTACTACACTGCAAATTATAATTATTTCCCCCTGTATTAAAATCTACTGTTCAGATCTACGGTTTTTTTTTTTTCACCCATACTGTTCCAGCAAATGTTCATCTGGCAACACTGCCTAGATCGAAAGAACTTTCCAACTACCATTTCTATAAAATATCGACCAATCACCTCGAAATACAAGCGTTGACTGAGGACAGTGAGGACTGTGTACGACAGGCAGTAAACGCTCTACCCCGAAATGGATCTAATGTGTTGTCGACTTCTGTCTCTCGGACGTGTCGCGTCTTCTGAAATGTGTTTAGACGTGAAGAGACCGTTCTTGGTCGCCTTTGCCGTCGCGTCTGTTGTCGTCTGTCGCGCCTTCCGAAATGGTACCTTTAAAAGCGAAATCACGACGGGAAAGGTCGCTGACCTCCTCTTGCCCCACCAGTTCAAGATGCCTTTCGAAATATTTCTATTTGTGGCGTTGTAGCGTATCCATAAAACTTGACAAATACACATATAAATAATTGAAATTTAATTTAATTATTTGAATAAGTTCACTGAGAGTTTTAATTTATTATAAGAGATCTAATTGATTTTATTTCAAATAAAAAAATATTAGTTGACAATATTTTGAAGGGATGCGACGCATTACCCGCATCAATGCGTCGCCACTGCCAACTTGGCCACCAGGCTATTAATTGTTCGAAGTCCGAGCTCTCAATGTAAACATTATATTAAAATGTCACTTGGTGACAGGTTAATCTAAGTTTTTCAATAAACTACTCATTCTAGTTCTCATTGAGGTTCAAAAATAGTTTTATTTCGTGAGTTTTTTATTTGGAAATTTCCAGAGAATTTTTCGATTAAGCCGTGAATAAGTTTATAAATATCCGCCAATTTCGTATTACTCGATGCTCCAATGAAGAAATATTAAATTTAGCAAACGAGACTTAATGATAAATTCCCCTAGCAGGATATCTACCAACGATTCTAAAAATTTAATAAATCGTCTTTGAAACTTTTCAACGGCATCAATATTAACATTGTGATTAGGATCCAATATTAAAGAGGAATATTTTATAATGAGATATATGTGTACATATTCGTTAAATTTCAACAAAATTCAAACAAGAATATTAGTCTTAAATTAAGGGTGACTGAAGATTGCGGGTACAAACTTGGTTTTTTTGGCCGCTAGATGTCAAAAAGCTAAATAAAAATATCTATTTTTTCTTTAATATCCAGAATTCAACTATTTTAAAAGATTAAACTTGATACGAATACTAGGTGTTTTATGGCCAATTAAAAGCAGAAGAAACACTTTTTGATATTGCGATCATAAGCATCTCATTAGGGGGAGGGCGAACGGACATTTTCTTTATTTTTTATTTATCACGTTTTGAGATTTCTGGCATTAAAATAGAAAACTTTGGAGTTCTTACTCAAAAAAAGTCACTCGATGTCGCAATGATGTACCCTTTTCAAAAAAAATTGGTTTATGGAGTGCAGTAAAAGTGAGGATATAACGTCACATTCCATAGGCGTACTTTGTAAAATAGGTTTCTATAACATAAATAAGGTCACGACATATACAATGGTATATACGCACTTCATAGATTAAATTTTGAATAAAAATGGTAGTTTGTGCAACAAGATGGATATAGACAAGCCACTCGAGTTGTACAGTATATTTTTTCTACGACCCATTAACGAAAATCTACAAATTTAAAAAATTATTTTAGGTTATTCAGACAAAATAACTAATTTTAAAATAATTTTGAATTTAAATAATTTATAAAATAACATCAACAAAGAAAAAGAAATTTAATTAGTCCCCAGCCAGGAATCGATCCCGGACTTTTCGCGTGGAATGCCAGAAATAAACTACGGCCAGAAAATATTTTCAGAAATGGTTTTCGAGGATGAAAAAATGCATTGACTATTAACTGTGGAGGAGAATACTTATAAATAAATGTTTTTATAAATAAACAAAAGAGATATTTTTATTTTTTGAACATGTTTGGAAAATTTGGTTCTTCGAAGGAATATCGGTGTATTATTAGAAATACATATGTTTTTTTTTGTGAAAACTCCTAAAAATTACACTTACCTAAGTAGGTATTCAAAAGTATTCTATATCATTATAGAAATTTACAATTAATGATTTTTATATTTATATTAACTTTTTACCAAAAAATAAATACACTCACGACCAAATGCATAGTGTCCTCAACATTACCCGTATCCCACGAGACCAATTGGCAAAAATAAAATTAACACGTTGCATACTATCACGCCTATGAGCGTCAAAATATCGCTTAAGTCAAATGCCAATGACGCCTATGTGACTTTTTAAAATACCTTTGTTTTTTATTGTTTAGCATAATTACCCTTGCGTATAGAAGTTTACTTTTTGGAAGAGTTTGTAGAAGGAACTATCTGTTACCGTATTTATCAATCAGTTTTCAGAAACCTTTTCTCCAACTACACAAATAATTCATTAAAATTATTTAAATTTATATTCTGTATAATACTTATTTTGCAATGTCAAATTTATTAAAATAATATATTTTCTATACTTTTCTCTATTTTCTGTTATTACTTTTTTATTTTGCATAATTATGACTACAGGGTAACCCATTAGTTCGTAATTGTTCAATATTTCAATTTGTATTATAGACACGCAAAGAAGTTTCAACTAAAAATTAAATGGATTTAAAAATATACATATTTTAAAAATAATTGCTTGGCAAATAAAAATGTATATTTTTTAAACAGAATGTATTTTATTTCAGTTTTAGAATGGTTTGGTAATACTGTATTCAACTCTAGAATGTTTTAAAAAATATTACAGGGTTGCAAATGATTAAATTTTTTTATTAAATTGGAGAATGATGCAGACACCAAATTAAATTATCATAATATAGGTAGCTTTACAATGATTTTAAAATTGTTTAATATACAGACTTACAAGATACTAAGCTAACGAATAGTTGTGTTAGAACTGGTTTATTTTATACAGTGTTTTGAAATACGGCTCAAAAATAACCAATTTTAAATTAAATTAATTCAAATTTTTCAAAGGCAACACCATGTGTATTATTTAAGTTGAAATTTTATTTTTATCTAGTGTTGCAGATAATTCACGTAAAACAATGGAAGCCTGCGCGTGTTAATGAACTTAAAACATTTTTTCGGGCTTACATTGGAACGTGGGAAACCAATAGAATCCAGGACTATTGGAAAATCGATCCTCTTTTTCAATCGAAATGTTTCCATAATCAGTCGAGATCGTTACTTGCTTATTTTTAGATGTCTACATTTTTCCAGAAATTCAGAAATTCACATGAGGGTATAGTAGAAGATAAACTGTATAAGATTAAATCAATTTTAAATTACTAATATAATGGCTGAAATATATCAACCAGTAAAATCTCTCCCTTTTCGAATCCATATGAAGAGCAAACGTCACAAATACGAACTGAAATTGTGTGTGTTGGCAGAACCCAATAGCTTAGAACACCCTCCGTATGGAATTATATACAGGACTTTATGACTCTGTAGGTGGAAAGGGCCACTCTGAAAAAATAATCCTAGAACTAATGCAGGATAAACTTAACGTTGGACATTTTTATGGGAGTGTTGGTTTAGCAAAAACGCTTTAACAAAATAATACCTTCTGTACAGGAACTTTAATTTCCAAGAGAAAAGGTAACTAGAAAAGTTTTAGAAGCTAAATTAGCAGAAGGACAGACAGTAGGACAATAGACATTTTAGTAGGAAAGTGGAGAGATATAAAAGAAGTTAATAATAATAATAATAATAATAATAATAAATAATTTATTGCTTCCAAAACATTTAAGTTTACAGCAAGGGTTTGGGTTTTACAAAGTATATAAATTTATAAACCTATGTAATAGTAGAGCTATATAAAAATAAAAACAAACCATAATATATAAGTATAAGTAAATTATTTTCCAAGTAATAATGCGAAAATCCTCTCACTCATTACAAACTTTCTAGAAAGTATACAGATGGATAACAATGATTTATTCAGGATACAAAAATCAAATAATAAAAATAATCCATTAATTTAAAATAAATTTAAGTTTTAATATATTCCATATATAACTCGCTATTATTTTGGCATTGTCAGTTGTCAACTTGTCCAGAGCAGAAATTAAAAATTCTATGTCCCGTAAAAAAGGAAATTGTGGTTTCATAACGGTGTATATTGGGCAATCAAAAAGCAAGTGGTTAAAAGTTTCATATTCATTCATATTACATACAGTGCATAATTCATCAGGACTAAGAGAATAGTGGCTGCCGTTTAGTGTAAAATAAAGTTTAAAACCGTTAGATATTCGAAGTTGAGCAATAGTGCATGTGACCTGGATTGGCAACTTAAGCAATAAGTAGGATTTTACATCTCTAGTCATATCAAAACCAGTATACAATGACATAAAAGTGCAACGCTGAGCTTTGTCAATGTCTGCTTCTAGTAACTTGTTATAGTAACATTTTAATAACATCTTGTTTGACTTCAGAGTAACCGTATCTAAATTTTCCCATATATTTAAACCTTCAGTTAATTCGAAAAAGGTACGTAGTTGGCTAGCCCAATTAAAACGTACATCAGAGCAATTTTTTAATTTTTTAAGCGATCAAAACAAAGTTTAGGGTAACGATTACTACTCATTGCTAGTATTTTGTATAAATCTGTAGGCTGGCTGACGAGCTAGGAGGTGCCTATCATCTTAGGAGGATGCACAATGGGCCTAATGAGGCCTAAGTGCCGTGGGGGTAACCCACCCTTCACACGTTACAGTACAGATTTGTATAACCAGTTCAGAGCGAATTTAAAGATATATGATAACTTTACTCTACCTGCCTAAAAGAAGTTATGTACATATCTACAGAATTTAAGAATGATCTGATCGAAACTGAACAAAAAAAATCCCCACCTATCTCCAAATGAGTGATGTTGATCGTAAAAATCAAATGCTTACCATCTATGTGAATGAAAGACAATGAGATGATACAAAAAATTGGTATTCACATATTTCAAGTTTTGTTATTAAATTCTTATTATTTATACAAAAGTTATATTCCATACTCTGGTATAAAAAAAAATTAAATGAATATCGTTTAGAAATTATCAAATATCTTTTACAAAACCCTGGAACAATATCGGATACTCCAACAAACAAACAAACAAACAAACAAACAAACCACCTCACCAAACATCAGATAACCACAACATTTCAAAAATTTTAAATGTTGATAGTAGAGATCGGATGAAAAAAATTATTTAAAAAGAGATACCGTATTTGAGTGTAGCGTGTGTCCTGGAAAACCCGGCCTATGTGTTGCAAATGGTTTTGTACAGTTCCATAATGATCAGAACTTGTAATGAAGTTGTCCATTTAAATTTCCAGTAAATGTTTTTTTCTTACTGCAATTTAAAAATGACAGACGCACATGTGCGTCACTTAGTATATGGAACAAACATTATTGATCCAGTGCTGACGACGTCTATGAGCGTTACGCGTTAAAAAAGACAAAATTTACCAAAAACTTTCCAAATGTACTTTATTTACCCACAACATAAACAATCACAGTTATAACTATGTTTTCAGAAAATACTCTTCAGCACCTATCAATAACATATCATTAGGCTTTTAGCATGCAACGTGTTAATAACTTCATCAGTAATCCTAAAACAATGCCACTGACGTATTTCACAGAACTGACAATTATAAAAGTCACTAAATGATACCATTTCCATTCTCTTTCTCGTTTTGCCAGATCACGTGGGGTGAGATAAGTACGTGTATTGTTGAAGACTAATTTTCGACGGAAGAAGGTAGAATGGGTTTTGGAATATAAAAAACATATACATACCTATTGCAAACTAATTTTTAAATAAAAAACGCACTTGATCTAAGCAACATAAGCATAATAATAAACAAAATTCACCTACCTGTCATACTCATTTTTGGTGTAAAACCAGTAAAGGAATTAAGAAAACTAAATACAGGAGCCAGATCAAATATATACTTATTTATATAGTATTTTACAATAATTAAACGAGAAAAGCTTATCTAGACATTTGGAAACATGGTGTCAATATTAACTAAAAGCTTAATTATGCAAAATCAGATACCAAGGACGGTTCATCCTATATTCTACATTTTTAAATTTTAAACCAAGCTTCAATAAGTATTTGTGTACCAAATGCGTTATACAGGGTGTTATAAATTATGTTATTCCTTGGCCTATTTTATTAAATTATATATAAATGATTTTTAAGGCGGCAGTTTAAACCTAACCTATTTAAACTTCTGAGCAGTTACATATCTAAGACACGAACTTCCTTTCGTAAGAAATTTGCTCAAAACTATTTTCTCTAGGTTCGTTTGCTAGGTGAATATAAGATCAAAGCGCTGAATGATAGAAACACTCTACTATATCCGACCTCAGCTTGCACCCTGTCATGAACCATTTTGAAAATAAAATTATTAACCGCCCAGAAAAGGTATACAAAAATAGGGGTGGGTGGAAGGAGGTCGGCCTACGCTTCGAATTTTTATAATTTTTTAATTATCTACACAATCAATATCTCAAAATACTCGAATCATGAAAAAAATGTTTCACCACCACCGCCCCACCAAACTTACATTTAGAGTGGAGTGAAGTGACTTGCCCTATGGGAGGGGGGTGAGTTTTTTTCCTCTCAAAGTCGTTTCCGTCGTACCCGAAGTTCTTTTTCCTAAGTCTAGGGATTCTATATATCGAACTCCCCTGGGGTGGAGGGTGAAGTAGGGGTGAGATGAAGTTGGGCGGTTCGAAATCATTTCAGGCGGGACCTCTGACCCAGCTTTTAGTTTTTTCTATCCCTTACCATTTAGGCGTGGCAGAGGAAGAGGGGGAAGTTGGAGGAGTGGGGAGAAGTAATTTTTTTTGAGAATTTCTATCCGTCCATGTAATATTTATTCCAGAGTTGATATATAAAAATGTAAAATGTAAAGATCCGCCTGCTGTTAAAAAACAAATAAAAAAATTTTAAAAAATGTGTCATATTAATAATTAATTTATTGGTTTTCACCTACAAAATAAGTACCAGGTTACAATAATTTAAAATGTGAGATTTTTAATTAAACTTATACACGTTGATAGTTATTAAAATAATTTATAAACCAACACATGTTTTAATAATAATAATAATAATAGGTACTGACTTGGATATATTTTAATTTTTTCTAATTTATACTAATATTTTTATATAGTATATTTTTTCTATGATTCACTAACAGAAATCTATAAAATAGTTTGAAGGTTAAGGTAAAATAAAAGAAAAACAAAAAAAACAAAAAAAAACACACAAAAAACAAAAAAAAAACAAACAAAAACAAAAAAAAAAGCAAAAAAAAAAAAAAAAAAAACAAAAAAAAAACAAAAAAAAAACAAAAAAAAAAACAAAAAAAAAAAAACAAAAAAAAAACAAAAAAAAAAACAAAAAAAACAAAAAAAAAACAAAAAAAAACAAAAAAAAACAAAAAAATGGTTTGGCTGGGATTTGAACACCGTTCCTTCTCTAACCACCACTAAAGCTCTTAAATTTTTTCGTCTTAAAAATATATAATTAATTTGGTTTTAGATAGTTGGTTTTATTAAAATGTACAGTTTGTTGGTAAATATAAACAAATATCGACTAAATTGCCATTATTATTCGATTCTTCATAAAACCACTCATTTTTCACTCGTTTTTACCTAATCATAATTATTAAATTAATAAAATATACTAACAATTAGTTTGACATTTGACAGTTCATATCAATTACTAGAATGGATATGAAATTATATCCGTTCAGTAAAACACAATAGCCTATCTTTTCATGAATTAGGATGTGCTTTTTGATGACTAATTTAATTTATCGTTTGCTGGACTGTAGATTCTTACTTTCAAGCATTATTTAGCAATTTTTTTTTTGTTACAGGAACCAATGGCTGATCCGAGCATGAACGCGGCCGATCTCCGCAAAGCCCTAGAATGGGAGTTGTCTCTCGACAGCAGGGATCTTCGTAGTCATGCGTGGTATCATGGCGCCATACCACGTGTTCGAGCTGAAGAAATTGTTCGAGAAGAGGGCGAATTTCTGATCAGAGACTGTACATCTCAGCCTGGAAACTACGTCTTGAGTTGTAGGACGAAAACGCACCCACTTCATTTTGTAATCAACAAAATTATACTTCAACCTGATACTGTTTACGAAAGGGTACAATATCAGTTTGAAGATGATGCTTTTGATACGGTAAGCAATAATATAAATTAAAACAATTTACGTTGACTTATTTTTTTTTTAATTTCTAATAGGTTCCAGATTTAATCACCTTCTACGTAGGCTCTGGAAAGCCAATTACAGCCGCTTCTGGAGCTAGAATACAAGTTCCTAGGAATCGAATGTATCCTCTTTCGTTTTATGCTTCCAAATATCCCACCCCGTTACTCCAAAGTAGGTTAACATCACCAGCAACCACTCCAGTTGGACATCAGTACAGACATAGTCCTCTTCAACCTTATAGACCCAGCAATTCTCCTACCAGACCTTCTAGGGAAGGCGCTCCACGGTTGCCATCAAAAAAACAGAGGTCACAGTCTTTAACTCCATCTGAGGTAATAATCATAAAATAAATAGATAAATTCATAAATACAAGAATCTCCATTAAAAACTTAGTTATCGTTTACATAATTGCATATACAGGATGTCCCATTAAGGACGGGTCATAGAGCAACTGAAGATTCTCTCTAAAAATATGTATGAATTCAAAGGCTACCTTTCACTGAATAAATTTTATTTAAAACGAACGGAAATCAGTTTGATTTAATACTTGAACATTGATAACATCTAGATATACACTTTTTAGAGGGAAAGCCCACTCACGCGACATGTCGCGCGCGACTTGCCGCATGCGATTTTTAACAGACGACAAGCAGCGACACAGACGTTCAGTATCAAAATAGATGTGGAAGAAGTAGTAACGGTGTTGTTTTATTCTGTTCGTTGGCGGAAAAAACTGAAACGACGTGGATATTGGGTTCATCCATTATTTAGACACTTATATAAAAGGCGCATTTAATTTATTATATAAGGATTTACATTAACACGAAGTTAAGTTCTTCAAACATTGCAGAATGACGAACTGCTAGCGCAGATTCCCGAACAAATATTTTTGTCGCTATTTTATTTCAATTAACTGTTTAATATTTGAGGTCGGTCTTGAATATCGGATATACATTCATCTATATCAATACAACTGTCGAACATTTTTTTACTGGAACTGTTGAAAAGTTAACAGGAAACTCCAACTTTCAACTGACGTTTCGCACGCGACTTGACGTCTGTATGAGTGATGCTCCATATGTATCCATGATAACGCTGGCCGAGTGCGGCAGGAAAATCGCGGGCTTGTCATTTCTAATTTACAGCCGCGTGCGACCACGCGACAGAACCACGTTAATGAGCTCCGAGTCATTTAAAAACATCTAAAGTATTGCCGCGCGCGATGCCTCGCGATTAGTCGCGCGCGACGTGTCGCATGAGTGGGCTTTCTCTCTTACATTATTTACCATACATTTTCTCGGAAATTTATTAACCTAAGCCGTGTTGCTTCATCTATTTTACGTTTTACATAATGGCAGACACAGCGTGCCTTTCTACAACGGGAGATGCATGTTGTGCGCTCGACTGTTGATGCAGTGGTCAAGATGGACCGGACGAGCTTGAGGCTCTGACGTAATACTCCTTAACCAATGAGAGAGGCTGAGGAGCATGACGTATTTATCTGTTAGAGATCCTCCTTACCGGCTAAGATAGTACCAATTCGGGAATTAGTATTGTTGAATGTATTTCAACATCAAGTTTAGTGCTGCCATATCTCTAGGAGGTATGTAAACGACCGATTTGTAATGTTTGTCTTTGATTAGAAACAGTAGTGACCCAAATATTTTCAGCTTCGGATATCCAGGAATATTCTGGATAGCTAATGATGTTATTATATACACCTATTAGAACACCTCCGCCATTAAGCTTAGTAGAGGAGATCTATCGCGTCGATACACTTTGTAAGAAGTTTCCTCACTTTGTACTGATGCAGTAAGCCAAGTTTCTGCTGGCGAAATATCACACTGATTTTAGAATTAACTCCTCTGACATTTTGATATAGAACAAAAAAATATGAGTTAAATTTCATTGAAAATTAAGAACTATTATTAGGTTAAATTTTTCGAATGTAATATTTAATTTAATTTATCAACATCATTTTCTTTTAAGTATGTAACACCCTGTATAAAAGGTTCACGAACTCTTGGACTATTAGAATGAACGTTTAAGTTTTAAAAAATTCATATCAGCCGTAAAAATTATTATTATTATTATTATTATTATTATTATTATTTTTTTTTTTTTTCAGGTAAACAGAATATCCCAAGAAAAATGCAATAGTGCAGACGGAGTAATTCAATCACCTTTAATGACTAGGTCTGCTGGTGCCGATGCAGTCAACTCTTCACTTCGATTTTCTTCACATTCTTTACCCCGAAATACACACAACAAACTCTCAATTTCTTGTAGTGCAAACACATTAGGCCGTGATCCAAGAAACAGATTGAATAGTGATATAACCCTATCTCCTTGTTCAGAGCACCGATTTATAACTAATGACTCCGGACTATCAGAGTCGCCACCTCCTAAGCCATCGCGATTGCCCAGTCTTATCCGAACAGAGTCAAAAGAATCGGACGTTATCGAAGGACGATATAGCGTTGACGGTATAGCGCACGGTGGTTTACAGCGAGTGACGTCCTATCATGCCTCCGGATCTGACTCAGGAAACGGGTCGGGTGACTCTGCGCTGAGTTCGGTAACGGATGCTTCCGAAGTTCCTAAAACCAGTGGTGTAGTTATAAAAAATCCGCGTTATAATATGAGTACGTCAGAGTCCTCTACTACGCTTAAGAACTTTGAAATAGACTGGGTGACGGCGGAGGAAAAATTATCACAAATAGAACTTTTAGAGTGCGATTTGAACTCTAGTTTTGACTTAGAAAACTTCCAAACTCTATTACTTCCCGTACATGAAAACAAACCATTAGATGCGCAGGCGCTTAGGCGAATTAAAATGACGTTATTCGAATCGGGCCCGAGAGTTTTGGCCAACCATTTGACAAGGACTGATTTAGATTTAATTTTTGGTACGAAAGATAATGGTATTGTTAAGTCTAAATTGACTTTAGGATTAAATATGTGTGCGTTGCCACATGGAAGGCAGTTTAGGTTGGACCTTATTGAAAGGTAAGAGCTTTCTTTTTATACTAGTAGTGAATTTTCAACACGGAAATTATATCTTACAATGATTTAAACAGATTTTAATAAGAACGTACACATACAAGAAAGAGAGACCGCTGTCAGCGAGCATCGATACGACTTCGTCTTATGCTCTTCCCACTACATACATTAGAAAAATATTTATGCACTACGAGCGACAGCGGTCTCTGCCTAATACGTGCATGTTTCTATTATACCTTTTTTAACTCATTGTAGGGTTATTATTAGTGTGGAAAATTAATAAAACGCCCTTTAAAATGATGTGCCACTCGACCCTTTCCCGTTTGTATTCTGTAATTTTGAAACGCAATTTTTCGGAACCTGCTACTTTGCCAGCCGGGGCAACTTTGCTTAAAAAACTAAAAAAATATTTTTTGTAAATCTGGCAACAATGCTGTAATTCAGTTGGCGACAAAATAATACGCGATCAACAGGTTTTAGACAGTACGAGTCCGGAGCTCGGTGAAGCAGTGCGCCATATTTGAAAATCACGTGAACAAAAATTTTATTTTGACCTAGTGAAATCATGTTGCTATTCTAAGGGCTGTGTAATAAAAACTAATGAATCTTGAATTCTGGTTTTACCATCACCTATTCCTGTGCATATGTGAGTTCTATTTCTGATATTAACAGTTTTCCAGATGCTAAATTTCCGATAATTTTTGCGGTTGGCAAAGTTGCTCCACATTGTGTGTTTTTTTTTATAAACGACAAGTAGGTGCACGGCGTTATAAAGATTATACCGAAGAGCAGTTGCATAGAGCTGTTCTACTGATTAAAAGTAGTCAAATGGGATATACCAAAGCACCCAAAACCTTCAATATTCCTAGAAGAACTCTAATAAATAAAATTTATTAATTTATTAATAAAATGGTGCACCTCAGCTAATCGCCCCGGAGATTGAACGGTCCATTGTCGACGTTATAATAGCCAGCTCCGAATATGGCTGCCCCCTAACCATGACAGAATTGCGAGTAGTGTTGAAGAGTCATTTAAACAAAGAAGGTATCCCCGCGTAAAGAAGTTCAAAGACAATTTACCAGGTGTAGACTGGTGCAAGAATTTTATTTATAGACACAAACATGAATTATCCAACAGACAGTGCCAAAATATTAAAAAAGCAAGAGCTGAGAAAACATATGAGGAAATGAACAATTACTTTAATAATTTAACCTGCAAATCTGTTGCAAGTGAGGATTTCACAAGTATTCCCAAAGAAGAAACGTGATAAAGTAAATAAATAAACTGAAGAATATGACTGGATCTTTGAAAGTGACCCAGACAGCACACCAAATCCTTTGGATATCTACTACACATCCCAATATCCACTGAATGTCCAGTCCATGGTGGATATCTATTTTATATCCATGATATGTAATTTATAGACATGCAAATGTCCATAAATAATAGTAATTATATAGCAAATTATTAAAAAATTACGCCATTGTGCTCGCCATTGTGGCTAATAGTACCGTTCAGATATTTAAAATTATTTTTTTTAAGTTTTATTCAATGTCCCATGGACATCCACTAAATATATCAAAGTCTAGGCGCGAACGCAAACCATCGTGGATATCCACTAGATGTTATTTGATTTTGCTTACTAAGTATAGATGGCGATACCACTTTCGCATCTACTCATGCTCGACCCGCCGTAATTGAGTTCGATCGAAATTTGTGTTCTAATCAGACTCCATTAGTGACTGGAGTCGAGAATTTCCATTTATTGCTGAAGAGTCCTAATAAGGATGACTTTCTCCTTAGTGGGCAAAATCAAAGGCAGAGTGTTGAAAATATTTTGAGTGTTGAAAATATTTTTTATCTCTGCTATTTTCTTTCGACGTTATTCAATAATCATTGGTTACTTATGAACCTCTACTAAAGATAAAATATGTTGCTGAATATCCGAATATCTTCTATATCCTGGGATATAGACGGACATTTGGTTGGATATCCATATTGGATTTATTGAATATCCACAAAATATATTCTGTGGATATCTCTGGGATTTATTGTATTTTCTGGAAGATACCCATTAGATATTTTGCTGGATATCCATTAGGATATCTTCTATATTCTGGATATAGACGGACATTTGGATATCCATATTAGATCCACGGAATATTTCTGATATCCTGTGGATATATTGGATATCCACAAAAGATATTCTGTGGATATCTCTGGGATTTGGTGTGTTGTCTGGGGAATCTGAGGACAATTTAGAATTAGATGAAGTCGAGTATTTCCAAAAGACTGATGACCGCCTCAAGCCCATTGCTCCCGTGATATTGTAACTAGCAAGACTGAAGATGAATCAAAAAAGTATTTTACAAGTTATTCACAAAGAAAAAGACTGCTGTAATGTAAAGTTTTTAAGACTAAAATCACAGAACAATTTTTATTTTCCTAATATCGATGACATAGGCCTTATTCTTGAATACGATATTGTGACTATTTTAGAATCGCCAAAATTTGCATCGACATCAAGATAAATTTTTACATTCGAAAATTTTGATTTTTCCAAATATAAGATGTTTTAGTTTTTTGTTGCGTAAAAATTTAAATGTTTATTTTGAAGCATTTGTTAAGTTTGTTTTGTGACTTACTACCTACTTAGAATAGTTAAGAATTATGTTCTTATTATTTTGTTACCTAAGAGTTATTATTATTTTATAAGAGTTGCTTGTTGACTTGCAAAGAGGTAAATGTTCCTTTATTTTCTTAGAAATGTACATTTTAAATGTAAAAATGAATTATGTTTATTATTTTTTTTTAAACACATTAAAGGAGGGTAAAGTAACCCTTCGAGACTGTTAACTTGGCATGTACGCTTGCTTAAAAACGTGCAAAAATGCCAGTCGACAAAGTAACCCCAAAGTCGAGGTAACTTTGCCAACTTTTTAAACTTTTAAAAAATGTGGTTCTAATTTTTTTATGCCTTCTAATTACAAAACTATGTAACCAAAGTATTAAATTTTCATATAGTTAGAGCGGGCTTTATAATTACCAATAGAACCATAGGTATTAAAAGAAAAACAAAAATGTTGTGCAAAGTAACCCCACTTTACGGTACCATTGGAAAGTGCGCCACTTGACACCCTTTCCCATTTAAAATTTAAGGGTTACATCTACCTCTCCTAGGAGATTCAGCCATAAGAGTCTTAAAAAGTATTCATTGTAGGTGTCCCACTTGAAAATTAAATTGACGGGTTTTTGCGATTTTTCATATATTATTTACTGGAAGAAAGATATTCAGGGTGGGAAATTTTCGGTGTGTCACACTGTATGTTGTTTCCTATACTGCATCTCGCTTAACTTTTTTATAGATCTATTTTTCATAATTACCATTACCTAAGTCTTCATGACAAAGTCTGACGCAGTTTTTGAAGCTTCTAATTCAGCTAAAAAATAGTTCAATTTTCTTTTTCCTTTTGTAGGGCAGAATGTTTGAAATTACTAGTAGCTGTGACGATTTTAACATGTGGAGATGAATCCGAAAGAACTGACATCTTAAATAAATGGATAGAAATAGCGATAGATACAAAAACAGCTCTTGGTAATCTGTTTGGATTTTGTGCAATTATGTTAGGATTGTGTTTGCCACAGGTAAATATTATTAACTATGATTTTATATTTATGAAATTCTTAAATTTCGTCTAATACTGCGAGTGCTCCAGGAAGCAGTTGACCAATAGAAACTATGATATATTTAAGCAGTGCACATTCCACTAAGAAAAAGAAACTTATACCTATATCGGCTTGCTTTTTCATTATTTCAACCGTCTTGGTAGCAGAATATTCGCGTTAATAAAGTTAATAAGCAAGGATCGTTAAGATTTAATAATTTAATTCCTATTTTTAATTACTAGATCGCAGGATGCATACACTCCTGTGGTCAAGCGGTAGGAGTATACCCAAGATTGTGGGTTCGAGTCTTACCAGATACTGACACTTCCTTCATTTATCACTAATATTGGCTAATAAATAAAACCTGAAAATAACGTGAAATGGCGAATCGTTTTATTATTGGATTTGGATATGTTATATTTTCTACTAGTCAACTGCTCCTAATTCTGTCAATTTAATATTCTAAACTGCTCACTATTTTTATACGAAATGTAGAGGATATATTGTGACATTATAATATAATAATACTTTCCCTAATTCACCCCCTTACGAGTGAATTTCAACCCCTGAAGCCGACTAAACGACTTGTGTAGGGTAAGGGATGGTTATTATTATTATTTGCAAGGCGCTCCTGGACGACTTAAAGACGATTGATGGCGTCGTTTGACTTACAGGTGAGGAAAACCCGGAAAACTCCACCTATCATCATAAACCACAATAAAATTGATTGTTAAGTATCAGTAATGTTATCACAGATGTGACATAAAAACCGAGAATACCGATCAAGGAGAAGCGACAGCTTGGTGTTTTCAGTGTACCGTTTTGTAACGCGCATGTGCGAAAATAAGTTGTGTATCACTCAAAATTATGTTATCTGTCAAAGTCAGTCCAAGTTGTTTTTAGTACGTGAGCAATGTTAAGTGATATTTTTTGGTGTTTGTTTTGTGTAGTAATAATATGAAGATTTTTACACACTTAGGTATTCTAATACAGATATAAAATGTGCCAAAAAAGTTATTAGGAAACTAAGAATTTTATCACATGCATAAATATTAAGTATAATGATTTAATCATTTTTGACATTTTATTTTTCATATGTAGGTATTGTATTTTGTGAAATATATGTTTTTCTTCTTTTAAATAAATTTAATAAACAATGAACTGCAGATTTTGTTTATTTTATTTTGAAATTATATTTAAAAAAATATAATAAATCCGCGTGTTTCAATTAGGATTGGTCAAAGTGGGCGAAATCCCTTTATTATGGCTAAATTGTAAGTTACAATTATGTCAGTATAAAGATGTTTTGCCCATTCATATTTACATTTATTGAATGAATCATACTGGAGTTGATTTTGGAAATATTGGTGCATACTTTAAGTACTATTTCTAAAAATTCGTCTATGCCCAGACAGCACACATAGTCCAATGGACGTCCATTTTAGATCTATTTGAGGGTCAGGACGTCCATATCCAGACATCCACTGTACGTCCGTTTATATCGATACCCAGAGAACGTCTGTTTTTAGACTTAATTTTAAGTTTAGTAGTATTATGACGTCCAGTGGACGTCCATCTTAGGTCATTATTTATTAAGCCTTCCAGATAATACCCGTCTATATATACTTTTTTTTAATATAACTGGTCATTAAAAATTGCCAAATTGAATCTATTGCATTTCATTCTATCAGCGGAAGTTTGAAATCTTATTCAATTATAACTGTATCTAGTAAAAAGTTTTCAAGTGGTTCCTTGGTCGAGCTCGTCTAGCGATTAAAAGAGTAAAATGATAATGGATGTTTCTTCGTGAGTTCGATTTCTGCTCAGGTCAAGCAATAAATGGTGTATAGGGGTTTGCGAAAATAATAAACAAATTATTAATAATATAAAATAGTGTGTGGTGAGTTGCGGTTCTGTAAAAAAAGTGGGGATGTGGTCTCAATGAAAATGTAATCCTGGACATTTTTTGAATGTCCAGTATTCGACGTCCAAATATATTCCAGAATTGGACGTCCTCTGAATGGTCAAAAGTGTGCCATTTGTATACTTCACTGGACGTACTTTTTAAACCTAAAAGCTTTGAAAATATATGCACATTTCAAATATTTAGTTAAACCTCTCAAACTTAATGTCTTTTTAATTGTTACCTAAATTTTTTTGGCACTCTTAATTTTATTTACCTTATTTTTACTTAAGGGAAAGGTAATTTAATTTAAATATGGGGCTTTTATTACATTTTTAACAATAAATAAACACAATATTGAACAAATTTTATAGATAAATTATAAAATAATAAACGTCAAATAATAAATGTTGGACTCGTGCGAAATACTTTTTAAAAAACTTTATTTTTTATTTCGAAATACAAAAGAGATTTAACTGACACAAGAATTATTGAGTTTTGAATGAAGTCTAAATCAAATCTGAATATGGCGGCGACAATTCCGCCTTTTATAGTTAGATAAAGCTTCCGCTGATTTTGCAGAAACCACCATTGCGTTGGCGAAGCCAGGGTTGATCCAATTCTATAACTCGTCTTTTACTTTTATAACAAATAATTAATTACTACATAATGAATTATACTTTGGTGCCGAAATTTCACCATTACTATTAACCCTAACTACTTCAATGTAATTAAATCACATTGCAACATTTGCGCATGGACTATAACAATATTTTCAGATAATTTGCCAAACTATTTCGCTCAGTGTAGAAAATAAGTATGTTTGCTCAGCGTGCTAAGTTGTGTATTAATCAAAGTCATGCTGTGAAAAAGGTACATCCGATATCAAAGGCACCGACAGCTACTGTCGTTTCTCCTTGATCGGTATTCTCGGATAAAAATCTCAATTGTAATTTTAATGGCTTAAATGAAAGGGTTTCTTATTCTAAATCCAAGCATAGGGGCCCGAATTGAGAAGATACCATTACGTCACACTTTGCACAATGACGTCACCATTATCAACAGAGCAACATGGATTCATGAAAGGCCGTTCCACCGTTACCAATCTTATAGCTGTAACACAGTACATTGCAGAAAATATCGACAAGAGAATCCAGACTGATGTAATATACACCGACTTTTCCAAAGCATTCGATCGGCTTGATCATGGTATCATGTTAAATAAACTTTCATGCTGTGATTTTTCTCAATCACTGTTAAATTTATTTAAGTCTTACTTTTCCGAGAGAAAGTAATATGTTCACATTAACGGTTTCAAGTCAGATATTGAGTCATCTGGCAACTTCCGGTATTCCGCAAGGTTCTAATCTAGGTCCTTTGTTATTTAACATATATTTAAAAATGATATAAGCAATATTTTAGATACTGATATAAACTTTCTTCTATACGCCGATGATTTAAAGTTATTCTGTCGTATCGAAACGGTTGAGGACTGTGAAAGGCTTTCAGATAATCTGCGACGTGTTGAGGAGTGGTGTCTCAATAACAACCTTCCTCTTAACGCCTCTAAATGTTTTGTAATGTCTTATACCTTGAATCAATTCCCTTTAAGTTTTAACTATAGCGTTAATAACACGATTATTCAAAAACCGGTTACCATCACAGCTCTTGGAATTACATATGATCCCACTTTATCAATGAACATCCATATAGAATCAATAGTATTAGCATCGTACAAAAGTATGGATTTATCGTTCGTAATAGTCGTGATTTTAAGGAACCGAAAACAGATGGAGTTTATCCCCGTATAGGTACATCTCATGGTGATCTGCTATTTAGACATAAGTTTTGGAGTCTTGATTCAAGACTCAAATATTATTCTGTGGTATTGCTATTTAAGACAGTTCATTTTAAAGTTGATTTTTCATATTTGATTCATAGTCTTAATTTTGCAGTTCCTCGCATATCTCCCAGGAACACCTGTACATTTTAATTGAATACACCCAGAACAAATGTTCTCTTAAAATCCCCTATATACACCATGTGTAATAATTATAAATCAGTAAGTTGCCAGCTTGATTTGTTTTATAGTTCAATTCATAATATTAGGTGTTATTTCTATAATAATGTTCTCTGAAATCTTTAGTTTTGCGTATATTCATGAAATGCTAGATAAATAATTCTTACCTGCTGTTTAATCAATTAGTATATTATTTCTAAATTAATTGTCTTTATATATTCTTGTACTCTTACTCTGTAATTGGGTCTTGACCTGTTGAGTAATGTAATAAATAAATTACGTCACATTTAGAAGGATGCTCAATGGGCCTAGTGAGGCCTAATGCCGTGGTTTAACCCACCCTCCACACGTTACAGATACAGATGATTACCTTTAGTATTACCTTGTCCTTTGATCTATTCTTACACCAAATTGTTGGTTTTGAGGTCCCTCTAAGCAGTGGCGGCTGGTGGGGGGGTTCACAGTGACAGAATATAGGTATCAGCACAGATGAATAAAAAATTTTCAGTGTTTTAGAAAGTTTATAATATACCTTTCTAAAACACTGACAGTTTTTTACCTATACCTGTACCGGGATCTATATTCTGAACCCCCAAAATTTTTATCACAAGCCGCCCCTGCCTCTAGGACTTGGGACATTCTAGTATTAGTAAACCTGATGTAAAGTGTTGTATGTCAATTTGTCCAAAACTATGGGAGTACTTTTGCCTATTATTGGCAATAATATTATGTAGGTATATTTTTACAAGTAAAATTTTGCTGCTATTGAAATGCACAGTTTCGCATTTTTCCACATATCCCATAGCGGTATCAGAGTAATAGCAATATCTATTAAAATGAACAAATCTTGTGCGATTTAACATGGATACTTCCAAAATAATATAGGTAAATAAATTTAGTTTCTTTTCATAGACATTGATTTTGTTTACAGATTGAAAAACTTCACACGACATGGCATATGCTGAGGCAAAAATATACCGATTCTGCCTTTAACTTTGAAGCCAAACTCCGCCCAACTTTAAAAAATATGAATAGTTGCTCAAATCCTCAAGCGCCAAACACTACCATCCCACATTTGTTACCTTTAATATTGCTACTGGAGCGCAATTTAGATGATTTTTTAAATCCTAACGATCAAGATCAGCTATCCCAAATGACGCTTGGATTTTGGGAGTGGAATACGCAAGATTTTGGTATTACTACTCTACTTAATCATATGGAATCTGCACGGAAATACTTAGGTAAGAAATACAATTTTTTTTTGTAAATATTAAACATTTATGTCCCAAAAAAAAATTTATGTTAAGATAAATTAATGCTGCAAAAATATTATGTGTTCAAGTGATTTATATTAAAATCTAACATTAAAAAATATATTATTTGTCCCTCTAATAACTCATCTCGCTCTATCCATGCATTCAAGAAGTGCATATTGTATTTCCCATCCTGCGAACAGCGCTGTCACACAGCCACACCCCTAAATATAATACGAATATATGGTCCCGTGTTCACCGGCTTAAAGTCGTACTATCTCACAAGTTGCAATGCTTGTCTCATCGAAGTTAAAATATTCTGGATTCTCTAGTAAAGCCACGCCTACTCACATAAGAACTAACTAGAAATTTCGCCGCTCCTAATTCGCGCAGCAACTGTTCATCAGAAAAGATGTCGCGAAGTCGACACCTCATCAACATTCAGTTAACCTATAAAGTGTTAACATGTAATGTCAGTTAAACAGATGATGTCTTAAGCGTCTTACCCAGTAAATTCTCAGCAAAAAGACATTTTGTTCAATCATAAAGTGAATTTTCGAAGCACAAAACCCTTGGTGTACATGTAAAAAGTATTTGTTATGTGTTTCCAATAGTGGAATAAACAGTGTATTCTCTTTATTAGGCGTTTAATTTACATGATACAATTTTCCCGTTCACGGCAAGGCTCAAGATATCCATCATTGTGGGATTATTAACAGAACACTGTTGCTGAAACACCTTTATGTGACAGATATACACAATGATCCCACCACGTCTAGATCGTTGAGAGCGAAGCTATAGCTGATCTAGAATTGGAAAAAGCGCCCCAGGAACAATTGGTAGGAACACTAACCAGAGTACTATTCAGAGATAGTACCTGAATCCCGGGAAAGCAGAGGGATACAATATAGCCAAAAGGCGGCTGTGTTCTGTGCTAAATCTAAGCATACCTGCTTATAACCTAAAAACGTAAGGATAAAAAGTTACTCATAAAATTAAGAGAATATAAAAAGGTTAAATCTTCACCAAATTTATATGTGACCACCCCTGAAGTACCCCTTTTTTAGCAAAAAAAGAATCATAGAAATCGGACAACGCTGAACATACATAAAAAAATTACGACGAATTGATAACCTCCTCCTTTTATTTTGAAATCGGTTAAAAAGTATTATACCTACTCAACATACGACTTTTCAAAAATTATGTATCTGATATGTTTTCCGAAAACGAAACGCTGCTTTTTTACGTTGAAGTTCGTTGGTTTTTGAAAGAAAATAAAGGAAACATGTTGGCGAGGTTGTATGCACTGAAAAAGGAAGTAAAATTGTTCTAAACAAAACAAAAAAGGCTTGTACCAGTTTGGGCACCTCAAATTCCAAATATATTTTGGTTTATTTAGTATATTTTTTTCACAGCCAGATTATATTGGATTAGGACTCATATGTAGCCTCCTCCACCTCAACTTTTTCAGATCTATTTTGGATATCCTTTAATCGTGGGTTAGAGTACCTTGCCTAGTTTGGTCTTTTGTAGTAAGACTATAGACTAGAAAGTAGCTCTCCGGCGTAGCAAGTTTACCTTGGTTTTTCTTCTTCAAGTTTAAGGAGTAGCACGCTACGTGTACTAAAATTTTATCGTTTTTCTGATAGAATCGGCACAAGGTCTCTTCTGCCAAGCCGATGTTATACATATGTTTGTTAAACCTACAGTAGTACTTCGGTATTTTTCCTATTATGATTTAGAAGATGCTGCATGTGTTTTGGAATTCTTTGGCCTCTCTGTTCTGGTAAATTTTACCACCATTCCTTAAATTTTCTTTGTGACAACACAGGAGGGTTCAGAGCCAATAAGAGCCTTTGAGGCTTTTTCTAGAGCTAGTAAAATAGCCTCTTTATTGTCTCCTCTGTGGACTGGTACCCATGCTTAGGTTAGTCTGTTTTGACTACTCAGCTCTGTTAGGGCTTCTAAACAGTCCCACACAGAATATATGACAAATTATTTTTCCATTTTCCTTATGTTCTAATACCTCTTTTTAGGCTGCTATTTCTGACTGGACCTGGAATACTGGCTAAATAAATTAGATTTTTAGATTTAAAAAACAATTGTTATTTCCAAAATTTTGACAAATTGCTTTGCGATACCCGATTTTGTTTCCCACCACGTACTTGAGTAAGTATTTTTGGCAATTTTAATAAAAAATAGATTCAGTAATTGTTTGGACGTTAGTGCCGACATGTGTTTGGCTTTGAGCAACACTGAACCAAGAATCCAACAATTGATTAAAAGCACTACCTACTATATGATTGTCATACTTATTATTTTAATTCAACTCTGCCATAAATAGTTTGTTACCATCAAACTGTTGGTGGTCCATTCAAGGCAAAAATTAGGTCAAATGGTCTCTGATCACAAAAAGGTTAAGAACCACTTTGCTATAACCAAAGAATATATAGTTAATATGAAAAATGCATATACAGTGTGGTTTGCAATTTATGAATAATTTAAGAAATCAGTAAATGGATAAATCTTTGTTATAAATGAACAGAGACACATTAAATATAGTTTATTTAGAACGATCTTGGTTTCCCTTATCTACCCCTAACATATGAGCATTTCCCAATGAATAACTCTTTATATTTCAATTATTCAATTTCAATTTATTATTCAGTTTAAATAGGTACATTACAATATTCTATATAATGTTAAATGACTTAATGATAGAATGAAAATATTAAATACAAATGGAAGTCAGACAAATGCAGAAAGTCTGTTTCGTGAACTGCATTGCATGACTCCAAACTCTGTATAGAATAAGCATTCCTAACTTATATCATGAATATAGCGTATAGAAGTTAAGACAAAAAAAAATTACAAAATTTAAAAATAAACAAATTTTCCGTTTTTTTTTTGCTTTTTTTTTGTTGCCATGAAAATACTGGGCGAGTCGCCCAAGAGTAGTACACTAAAGCGGAATATTATTCTCAAGATCAAGATGGTTAAGGGATGTTAAATATATCTGCATTTTTTTATATAAACGTTTTCACCTCAATTTTAAAAAAAATAAATATTGTTGTTAGTTTCGGGCTTTTTGAAAGCATGTTAAATAATTTAGGTCCATAGAACATAAAGGAATGTTGGGTAGCAGTTTTATGAAAAAGTTCAGTTTTAATATCAAAGTTAGTTTTTGATCGAGTATCCCTCTGATGATTCAGGGTAGTGAATTTTGATGAATCATGGAATATCCTGGTTAGGCAGTTGTAAACATATATTAAGTGAATATTTAGTAATTTAGTTTCTTGATATAAAAGATTTGTGGAATGATACTTACTCTTTCTAAAAATTATTTTAAGAAGAATATTTGGGGGGTGGGTGGCTGAGTGGTAGAGCCTCTGCCTGTGGATCCAAGGGTCCCAGGTTCGAATCCCACCGTTGGCCGGAATTTTTTCATTTAATTTAATTATTTAAAATTAATTCTGATGCCTTGGTAGGATTCCCCACTCGACCATTCACTGTTGGGTTCTAATTAACAGTGCTGTTTCTAAAGTGGCGCTGGGAAACAGTAACAAAGCCTACACAGAACACGAGGCGAAATAACCTTAGCAGTTGAAGCCGATGACACACAAAAAAAAAAGAATATTTTGTGAAATTTGTAATGGGGATAGAGTTGATTTGAATGCTGCACCCCATACTGGGATGAAGTATTGAATTATAGATTCAGCAAGAGCTGTGTACAAAATCATTAAATTTTTTCTCGTTAGGATGTCCCGTAATTCATGAAATGTGTGTATTAATTTCTTAGTCGTTTAGAAACATAGTTTGATGTGGTCTACCCATTTTAAATGTTGATCAACAATAACTCCTAGATACTTGAAAGATTTGGTTTTTTGAATTATAAAACAGTCACAATTATTGGCAGTAACACAAGATGGTTTATGCAGTTTAATATAAAAAAAATTAGGCTGATCTGAAATGGTGGGAGAAAAAGTTATATATTTAGTTTTTTTCTTGTTTAGAGAAAGTTTGTTATTATTTAACCATTTGTAAACGCTTTTCATAGATATCTACTATTGCTCATTTATGTTTCAGAATTAAGCCCAACATATCAGAGAAATGCAGAAATCGTACTTGGTGAAGCGAGAACAGACGAGTTAACCATCGACATGTTTCGAACGGAATTCCATTTAAAATTCTTGTGGGGAAGCAGGGGAGCCTTCGCAAACGCGTCCGAAAGGCATTCAAAGTTCGAGCAGGTTCTGACAGTTATGGCGGAAAAATACTGCAATTTAAAAAGTGATAGTGAAGTGTAATCATTGTGATCTTAAATTTTTAGTTATATTTTTAATAAAGGCGTTGAAATTTTCTAAGCAATCAAAATGAGTCTCATCAACGTAGAAGAAGTTACTAATCAAAACAGATTATACATATAAGAGAAATATCGCTTAACTATGTATTTAAGGTTCTTCCAAATTTTAATCAGAGATGGTTTATTACATGAAGAGTGTATTAATAGTAGGAACTTATGAATTTGTTATTATTATAGAAGGACGGAGACATTTACGACCGAGCAGAAACTGAAGTTCATATCTTCGTCCGATTATAACAATAATAACAACCTAGAGAGTCAGATACAACTGTTTATCTACGACTATTTAAATAATTTCTTGAAAGTTTTATAAAGCATTCCATAGTTATTTCTCGATTTTTCGGAAATCAATCCCAATAATAAAGAATTGGCAGCTTCAGTGATTTTAGGTGGTGTGTCAATAATATAATTTTGATCATTTTGACTATTTCTTTTAAATATGCAAAAAACAAGTTGAGTTTCGAAAACAAAATACATTAGTATGAACGGTGTACAATTATGTGGTTAACATAATGCAATTATGTAACTATGGCAATGAGTAATTGTATATTATAATTAAATAAAATACATAAGAATAATAGATTTTATTTAATAGTCGTAGATAGATATTAAGATACAGGATATTGTAAAAGAATATTACCAATATATTTTGCGTTAGTATAAGGAGTGATTTTTTGCCATATTCAAAATTTAAAATCGTTTTCTAATTGTTAGTAAAGTGATATTCACAGATTATATTATGTAATATAGAATTAAAATAAATACGCTTAAAAATTTTGGAAAATTCTTTAAGAACGTACAGTAAGAATTAAAATATTTTAAAAATCGAAAAAAAAATGTTGATTATTACCAAAATTTTTAGACGGTATTGGAAAGTTGAGGAATTTGAACAAGTGGAATTTCAACAAATGCTAAATAATTATTTTATTGTTAGAAAAAATTAGTCCTAGCTTGTTTTGTCTTTTAGTTGACTTCTATTTTAGTAGCTAGGGTTTGTATGTTTTAGGCAAATCTAAGTGATGCCTTAGATTTATTTATTTACAAAAATAAAACGTTTTCAACTGAAAACTATCATTCGCCAAAATATTTTTCATTTAAAGAGAGACTGTCCATTTATGACATCCGATGATACGATAATACAAAATTGTTTATATTGGCTGATTATTTAAAAAAATATGTTGGAATATTATTATTTGCTAATATCACCAGGGCCGCCGAGGCCGTGGTGGACCCCGGGGCATTTCTATAAAAAATCAAGTATTCAAGTCCTTTCTATGTTATTTCAAAAAAAAAGATCCTCAAGCAAAATTGATTAAACGTCCTCAGCTAAAGCTGCCAGGCCCCCCCTGTGCCCAGGCCCCGGGGAATTTGTCCCCCTACTCCCCCCTCTCGCAGTGCCTGAATATCACAATATACAATTTTAATTAAATATAAAACATGTATGTATACGAGGTATGGCAATTAAATAACGAGAATTTTAAATTTTAAAACATTTATTTAATATTTACAATGATTTATGCACCCATGCCTTCAGAGTACTCTCTTCCGAGTCTAACACACTTGGTCCAGCGTTCTTCCCATTTCTGGAAACACCCCTGGAAGTTTCTAGAAGTTAGGTTCTTCAACACCGACGTTACGACATGTTTAATGTCCTCCAAATCCTTATAGTGATGTCCTTTCATTGGTTCCTTCAACTTTGGAAATAGCCAGAAGTCCAGAGGATCCAGATCAGGGCTGTACGGGAAGTGGGAGAGCTTGTTCCTACTGGTCAAAAACTGTTGAACTTTTAATGATGTGTGAGCAAGCGCATTGTCATGGTGAAGGACCCAACTCAACATAAATAATACAAATACAATTAAAACTAACTAACCCTGCTACTATTTCTGGAGAAATATTCATTAATTAAATAATCTGTGACCTGGATTTTAAATATAGTTAGTTACAGAATTTACAGTTTTAGTTTTCTCTGGAAGAGCGTTGTAGAAGTCTAGACCTTTAAAAAATAGTGAATTTTGTGTTGCACTATTAACAACAGTTTCAATATAAAAGTTATTTATGTGCCGCGTTGGATAAGTGTGCACATCAGAGTGATAATTAAGCTTCTCTTTTAGGTACATTAGAAGTAACCCATTTTTGATATTATAAATAAAAATGTATTCCTTGATAAAACACTTTTAATTGGCATCCAATTCAAAATTTCAAACATTATATTAATGGGAGTATATTTTGAGCAAGATAATATTGTTCACATTGCCCTATTCTGCACCTTCTGCAGTAGATTCAATTTATTTTGATTTAGATAAGAGTATTGTAGAACAATAATATTGAGTTAGGTAGAATGATAGTGTTATATATAATACATTTAGTCCACTCTGATAAGCCAAATGAACTTCTAAAGCGTGGTCCATCTAGTGGCTTTTTTAATCATATGGTATTTTGACACTGAAAGTTTTTTCCCGCTCTAAATCTTGACAAAACGTTAATATAATATATCGGCGGACCTTTCCAATTGACTCAGCATTTGAAGGTATACGACCATCCGATGCGTATCGCTTCTCAGTTTAGGCCTTAGAGCAGCTCGAAATGGATAACGATTTTGCTTGAAAAATCATCTTTTCTGACGAAGCGTATTTTCATCTCGGCGGCTTTGTTAGCAAGCAAAACTGCAGCATCTGAGAATCGGAAAACCCGCAGAGAGTAACAGTTTGGTGCAGATTCTGGAGCGGTGGCATCATTTGCCCATTTTTTGTTTGAAAATTCTGCTGGAGACGCCATTTCGGACAACGATGAGCGCTACAAAGGCATGATAAACGATTTTTGTGGCCGGAAATTGAAGACATGGACTTGGACGATCTTTGGTTTTAGCAGGCTGGCGCGCCATGCCACACAGCCCATGCCACAATCGATCTTTTGCGCATCAAGTTCGGTAATCGTGTTATCAGCCGTCTCGGCGATGTCAATTGGCCACCCCGCAGCTTCGATTTGACTCCTTTAGACTTTTTTGTGCGGTGCTGGGAAGGACCAAGGTTATGCGAACAATCCATTAACAATTCAAGCCCTTAAGGCGAATATCGAGCAAGCTATTCATAAGATATAGAGCCAGAAACCGTCATCAATGTCTTGGAAATTGGATTAACAGGATGCACTACTGCGAAGCCAGCCGAGGCAGTCACATGAATGAAATCGTATTCCATAAATATTTGCTCTTTCGAATAAACCAATAATATACCGAACAAAATTGATTTTTGTTAATTTTTTTGAACATTTAAAAAGATAGACCACCCTATGTATAGAAAATTTAACTTTAATGCAATACTTTTGATGACAGAGTTGGCATGATCTGTAAATTTCATGTGTCTGTCAATCATTACCCCTAAGTATTTGAATTTTTCTACTAAGTGTGTAGAATTTCCTTCAATTGTGATGTTATATTGTTCTTCAACAAATTGTTCATAGCCTTAATTATTACTTATTAGCATACATTTTGTTTTATTTGTGTTTAACAAATTATTGCAACATCATTTATAAACATTTTTCAGAGTTTCATTAACAACTCTTACTAAGTTATCTGGATCCTCACAAGAAAAATATATAAGGGCATCATCAGCAAACACGTTAATGTCACATTGACCCTTGACATCAACAATGTCATTGATATGAACTAAAAATAACAGGGGACCTAATATGCTTCCCTGTGGAAGTCCTTTGGTATAGTTAATTTCTTCTGATATGATGTTATTTATTTTTAACCTTTGTTTTCTGTTACTTAGATAATCCACACACCACTCCAATGCTGGCTCTACTATACCCATATGTTTTAATTTTATTATCAAACGGTTCTGATCATCAGCTTCAAATGCCCGTTGGAGATCTATAAAAACTGCCAGTGATTTTTTATGCTTGTTTCTGAAGCCAGATTGTATTTTTGTAAAAGTTTTATGTTCTAAAAAATTAACAATTTGTTCATAAACAACCTTCTCAAGGATTTTTTAAAGCATTGGTAATTTTAAGGACGAGTATATCAAATGGTTCTGAGAGGTTTTAAAAACAGTTTTATGAAATTTTAATGTCTTAAAGACTCAACCGTGCATCGTTGAAACTTCCCAATAAAATGTCCATTGTGTCTGTCTAAAATTTGATATTGTATGATCAATCAATCGTATTAGCAATCGATTGGACACTGTCTATGTAAAATTTATTAATATTTTTGATAATCACATTATATTCTAGTTCAAGTTCGATTAAATCATTTGACTTTGGCAGATTGATTCTGTGTGATTTATAATATTTGTTACAAAATTATCATATTTTACATTAATGTCATAAATACGATAGTTGTTATTTATTAAATCAAAATTTAAGTCCTTACCTCTGCTTTCAATTTCTAAAGCAGATAGGTCATTACTATTCAATGGCACATTCGTTAAAAGTATAATTTTTTTGGTGTTTTGATAACCTCAACTGAGACTGAATCGTTATAATGAATAACTAATCTCTTATAGTGTACCTTCACCATTTCTTTTTGGTTTTGTATATTCCGCTACAATATTTTTTACTCCAGTTTTTAGTTAACAAGTCAATATTAAAATCTCCAGAAACAATAAGTATTTGAGAATTATCACATACATTTTTTTTATACAACTGTGACCTATAAAATGATACAATTTAAAAATGTTTGTCCCCATTTTCACAGAGACAATCCAACAAATTTTTGGAATCATCGGATAAAATTCAACTTCTCCAAGGTCGAACAAATGGTTAAAATTTTGTTAAAAGAATCTCAACCATATATTTTTAATCAGCCAATAGGAACATTTTCGGATCAACGTATCGTCGGATATCGTACTTATGAACAGTAAGTATTAGGCATTCCAACGACCTCGTAAATCTAAGGGGGTTGCGATATAGCCTGCTTCCATCTTGGATGCTATTTTTATTTGAAATAGTAGTCACCAAGTCTGTCAATTTATAGAAAATGTACAAGCGGTTTTTTTTAAATAATAATTTCTTTAGGCGTTTTCGGAACCTTACTCGAATCAGAAAGATTACAAATCCTAGTGTTACCAGCCCTATCCGTTTTCGGAAACTAGTAGATTACTGATCCAGTTTTGTCATCGAGAGCAGTATTTTGTGATCCTTTATGCGAGTAGATCAGTAATAGATTTTTGCATGCGCACCGTAAGATTTTATAGAGAAATAACGGAATAACTTTTTGATATCTGGCATCCGACAGTAGTAGTTTTCTTTTAACATTTACGTTAATTTAGTTACTTTAAACTTGTAATGTTTATGCAAGAGGATAATAACTTCATCACTAGAATACCTACTATTCTAAAATCGTACTTGCTGGAGGGAATAGGTTATTTAAAATAAAATGGGTCTTAAACAAATAAGGATTTTAAATATTAAATGTCACGCGGGTAAAGTCAAAAATTGATAAAAGTTGATTAACAAGAACAATAATCAAACTCGTTCGTAAACTGTCGGCACTAAAGTTTAGTGATCTAGGTGATCCGTCGGGTAAGCCCAGTAATCCGGATTTGTGATCCATAGTAGGTTTCCGAAAACGCCTGTTGTATTCGACATAAAATATTTAAATTTAATTCATTAATTATGATTTCACGTATTGCAGATAGACTACATCGTATGTCGCAATCCTTTAGAAATACCAAACCGTACCCAGCAAACATTTTGTGCAGGGTAGTAAAAGGCCCAATAACTGTTACCCTCCAATTGTAATGATGGCCATTTAACTTTTATAATAAAAAGGCCGGCATATATAGGTTACTACGGCCGACAGTCGGGCCGAAGTCACTTAGCCAATAAATCCAATTAATAAGCCTCCATAAATATATTGGCATTTAATGGTATATTGATGGGAAGTTAACAGGAAATTGCTGGCTTTTACCATATTAATACTGACTGCTGAATAAAGGTCATGTGTCAAGCACATGACCAGACAGGATATTCGATAGTGCCTCTTTGACCAGTAGTACCGTTTGAACTATAAATTCTATACAAAAACGTAAGGCATTTCAATATAGAATATTGTAGATATTTTATTTAATTCAGCTATATAATACAGGGTGTCCGAAAAGGTTTTTACTATTTACTCATACAGTTTTAAATTTAGTAAACATTTTTTATTTATCAAATTAACTATAAAATGTGGAAATTTATTTGTGAAAAATTATGCCGTCGAGATGCTGTCCTCCTACGCGCACCGTTTCCTCCAAACATTCTCTGAAATGGGCAAACACGCGGACACAGAGTTCTTGTGGAATTGCTCGAATTTCATTGCGAATTCTTGGCTTCAACTGATTCAGATTTGCAGGAATTTCAGTGTACACCTTTGCTTTGAGGAACCCCCACAAAAAAAATCCATGCGAGTTAAGTCGGGACTTCTGGGAGGATAATTGATGTCAACATTTTTCCATATGAACTTTTCTGGAAACATCCTTCGAACGACCTGCATAGAAATATTCGCCCCATTTTGCTGAAACCAAGTGTTTTGGTTAAAGCCAGCAAAATTTTGCAATTCTGGCTCAAGAAAATTTTCCCTATAACAGTTAGAGTTAACAGTGACAGTGCGATGATTTCCGTCTTAAAAAAAAGGGACCAATGATTCCATGTGCAGACATTGCTGCCCACACTGTCACTTTGGGACTATGTAGAGGTTGCTAATGTTTTTCCCTTGGGTTGTTATCACCCCAATTATCGACAATTTACGGCTCTGTTCAAGTGAAAATGAGCCTTGTCACTAATGACACAGAATGTTATCGAAATTGTCGAAGTTATATAACATGTGCTGAGCAAATGCGACACGAATTGGATAATCTTCCACTTTTAAGGGGGTCCTCTAGTTTCTCGGTTGTTTTTTTTAAGGCTTTTTTCAATATTTTTTTACGGGCAAACCATCGAAATAACAAATCTCATTGTTTTTACATAATCTTTATTAACATTTAAATGAGCTTAACAAATTTTTTGAAGACAAAATATATAATAGAATCAAAGTTATAGTGGCCGACAGGAAGTGAAGGAGGTGCTTGACGGTGACCACGATATTTCAGAAACTACTGCACCGATATTGTTCACATTTATAAGACATCTTTAATATGTTATAAGCCAGCGATTGAACTAGGATTTTCATGTTTGCTTTGATAGTTTGTTTTTTCTACGAGCGAGAAACTTAAAAAAAATGAGTAAAAAATATAATTTAATTTTCAAAAGTGTATAAAATAGCCGCAATCTTGGTCACCGTCATCTTTTTCACTTGATATCTTCCTGTCGGCCACTATAACTTTGATTCTATTATATATTTTGTCTTCAAAAAATTTGTAAAGCTCATTTAAATATTAATAAAGATTATGTAAAAACAATGAGATTTGTTATTTCGATGGTTTGCCCTTAAAAAAATAACCGAGAAACTAGAGGACCCACTTAATGCTTGAACAATTTGAATTTTGTAGAAATGAAACTTTTTGATAAAGTTAGAGCGGTCGCCCATATGGTTGTTACGGACTGTCGTGGCTTTTACTTCGAACTTTGCAACCTAGTATCTGATTAAAGGACGCGTCGGAGCTTGATTAATGTCGTGTAAATTAAAATGCGACGCACTTGGAAGTAATGCTGGTTGTTTTCGTAAAATGCTTTTACACAAAAAGCGCGCTGCGGCCCCGTGTATCGCTCTATGCTTTTACCCAATACAGTTACTTACCCTTGCATAAGGCCATTATCAAGCAACATAATGCTGGGCCACTATCAAAAGGCCAAAAGTAGGCTTTTATCTTTTAATCGTCGCATTCATTTTCCCTTCAATTACAGCAAAAGGCCAGCAATATCCCGGCAATTTATTGTTTTTTGGGTAGCACCGCGTTTCATTTGTTTGGAATGCCTAATTCCTTAATGTGTGCAATATCTCGCAAAACAAATTTAAACAAATAGGCCATACTGTACTATATTTCTCATTCATAAAACGTGCATTTTTAATTGTGTCCCATTCTATTATCGCTCTACATATTTCTAATTTTTTGTCTATAGTCAAATAAGTAAGTAAATTTTAATTGGAAATTCCATGGCTGCAAAAAAATATTTAGTTTCCAAACTCTACATTCTATTTTTAAATTTTACTCTTTCGCCTAATGCAAACAACCAATGTTGAAATATCCACAACACTTTTAAAGCTAGAATTGATGGGACTGTAATAATATTGCTCAATATCTCAAAAAGTAGGAGCTAAAAATTATATAGGAGGATTATTAAATATGAGTATATTCAATTTATAAACAATTTACCATGGAAATATTTAAAAATTCTTCTATTTTACGAAACGATTCAAATAATTTATTTAAGGGTGTTTAAATATGATAAATAATTTATTTGAATTTTAAATTATCTATTTATTTCTAGGTACATATCAGAAAAAATAATTTTGAAAATTTACGAAAAACAACCAATGTACACCTCTATAAAACCAACTTGGTTTTTAAATACGAAAAATAAACAGTGTAAAAAATTTAGCTTTAATAAAAATAAATTAAGTAGTCTCTTAGACTTTTTATAAAAAGGTGCTCATTTTATTAATTATATTATAAGGAACATTTGGTCTAATTCAAATTAAATTATAAAGGAAATTTTAATTATTATAAAAACGTCTTATAATTGACAATACAAGAAAGACTGGTACCGTGTGTCATATATTACGAATTTTTGTACTTTCATTTACAGTTTAATCTCGATGTTTCAGTTTTCCACCACACGTTTCTTGAAAAATTGACATATTGTAGACTTATTGAAACACACTGTACATGGTTATTCGCGATAATTCTAATGAAATAATATACAGGGTGTCCGGAAATTGCATGTACATGAAACTACCACTAATTTATGTGCTCAAATTAAGTTGATTTAACCAAACTTACGTATATACCAACTTGCTTCGTTTGGCTGCTAGAGGTCAACAATATTAAATAAATATATGTTTTTTCTTTAGTCTCCAGAATTCGGCGATTTTAAAAGATCAAACTTGATACGAGTACTAGGAGTTTTATGGCTAATTAAAAGCAGTGGGAACAATTTTCATTAGGGGGGAGGGCAAAGTGCATTTTCCCTAATTTTTTATCTGTAACTTTTTGACATTTCTGGCATTAAAATAAAAAACTGTAGTTTTTACTCAAAAAAGTTACTCTTGTTCGATGTCGCCATCAGGTACCCTTTTCGAAAAATAAAATGTGATGCTTAATATCGTTACTTTAGTACTATGAAAGATGGTATTGGTGAAATAATAATTTGTGTTTCTACACCCACATGGATATTAGCTTATCTACGCACAGGTTACAAAACGAAAAAGTATGGCGTTGCGTTTAACTGAACGAATATATTTCATATCCATTCTAGGTAGTAAGAACACTGCAAAAAAATGAAATCCACCAATCACCGTTCATATTTTGATCAATTCTGTCAAACTAATTGTCAATATATATTTTTTAGTTATTGAGATTAAAGGCATTTCTTTATAAGCTTACCATAACTTACTAGAACATACTTATGTAACCAAAGCAATTCTTTAAACGGTTTGGTTACTTCCATGACGTCATACGTTACCAAAATACGTAACTACTACTAACCATGATGTTTTTAGTGGTAAGGTGTGTGGTAAGGTCAGTAAGGTCCACATTTGAACATATCGAGCATGCGCAAAGTATTGTAAAGAGATTAAATTAGATACATTTTTCTGTGGTTACGGGTTATATGGTTCATTTTGTATATTTGGGTTGGGCATTTTTGTATTTACCAAAGAAAACTATTTACTATGAAAGAAATTACATTTGAAATACAGGGCACTGAAATAACGCTTCACGAGAGCGATGTTGATGACCACTGGATACTGTTATTTATATTGAAATATAAAGATGAAAATATGAGACTACTGGCACAAGTAATTATCATTATTATTTCATCACAAATAACACTTATTAATTTTTTTTCTTCCTTTTGTTGGAGGAGACATATTTAAATAAATAAGAAAAGAACGAAAATCAAATGACGTCTGTGACAAAAACACTTTTATTTATCTGAACAAAAACAAAGTAAACAAATCCCCAATTTGACATGTGACAACGACAAGTGCTACGAGTTACCACGGTAAGTCTGACGTCATCAGAGTAACCACAACGCTGTTACGAAGTATGTCGTGGTAAGCTTATAAAGAAATGCCTTAAACATACATTAAAATGGGTTATTCTTGTGTAGAATCGATAAATAATAGCATTTCTATTTTTATTTCGTCTATAATTATAAATAATTCGTTAATTTAAATAAAACTATATGCAGGGTTCGAAAATATCATATTAATATAAATATCATATCACATGATATATATCGGATATATATCCGATATATACATCAATTTTAAAATTTAATTATTTAATTAAAAAACAGTATTGTTTCTTGCACAAACTATATTTTGTCCACGACCACTTAATAATAAATCAATATTCTACCTCCTAACTAAAAGCATATAGTACCCATATATCACGGAGTGAATTATGATAATTCACGCTTTTGTAATTCTGGAACATTCCGGTAGATAACTAAAGATAGGCGATACTTTTCATAACGATATTTTCTAGATCGAAAAATCAAAAAATCGATAAATCAAAAAATCGAAAACTCGAAAATCGAAAAATGAAAAAATTGAAAAGTAAAAAAAATTGAAAAGTAGAAAAAACAACAGTTAGTTACCAATGTTTAATAAAGACTTTCCATTCTACACTTAACTTTTATTTAATAAAGAAAACATAATGGTCGTGGACAAAGTATAGTATTAGACTCGTTTAATAATATACTATTAAATTTTAACAAAAACCTATATTCTAAACAACAAAACCGCTTATTCTAATAATAACCTCAGATATAGCTGGTTCCCATGCCCAGTCAAGGTTGGTTTTCTTTTTGTCTCTATTTTGATTCATACACTTAAACATAAAAACCAGTCTACTGGCTTTTTGGTTTCCTAAGCGAATCCGTAAATCTGAGTGAACCAAACCGAAAGAAGAAAAGGTCCTTTCAATCTCTGCTGTAGATGCCACTGCAGTGTGTAACTGTTCACACAATTCAAAAAAAGCGTTTTTGTCTGGCTAGTCCAATACAGGACCCGATTTTCACCACTGGCGGAGTAAACCTAAAATGATCCCCAAAAAAGTACCTACTTACTTTTGATATAAGAGAGATTACAAATGGAACAAAAGAAATTTTTGGGTATCTGTTATATGCCGTCCCAAAAATTGGCGATCAATAATGTTTGCTAGATAATGAATTTTCCCAAATGCCATATTTTTTCTTTTAAACTTTTTTTTATTAAAAGTGGCTGTCCTGAGAAATCCAATTCTAATTTATGCCACACCTTTACACACACAGATTTAGTTGTATAGTATCTTTGAACTCTACCAAGAGCCATGGGGCTATTGGATCTAGACGAGCAATTAGGTCAGTGGTATTTAATGCTTCCTGGGCATCATTGACTATCTCTATAATGTCACTTTCGATAACATCTTTATGGTCCTGGCATAACTGAACTAAAACTCCCCTATTTACTAAAAATGACTTAAGGGCGTATTGAGACATTTTCGGATGTTTAGAATGGTGGAAAACATTTTTAATTTAATAAATAAAATTATCGAATATATCGGATATATATCACTTGATATATATCCTCCGAACCCTGAATATGAAGTCAATTTAATTACGAGTATTAAAACAACAAAAATAAAAGAGTAGGTGGTCCTGTGGTTAGCGTTCTTGTCTTCTACGCGGAATACTGAAGTTCGATACTCGGATAGGGAAAAATGGAATGAACTTTTTGTTTTTTTTTTTTCGTTTATTTTATTTTAAAAATTATTAAAAGTCATAATTTATCTTTAAATTAGTTATTTTAGTAAACTAATTTTTAATATTTGTAGATTTTTGTTAGTAGGTCGTAGAAAAAATATACTCCGCCTACGGCGTCGTGCTCAAATTTCGTCTTCGTGCGATATGTCCATCATATCCACTCTTGTTGCACAAACTATTATATACTGCATACGGGTATACAGAACGCTGCCTGTAGGAATCTTCTGTATGCCGCATATAAAAAAAAATATTATTAAGATTTCGCAAAGAAAAATAGTACCCGCTTCTTTTAATTGGCCCTAAACCACCCAGTACTCGTACCAAATCTGATCTTTTAAAATGACTGAATTCTTGATATTAAAGAAAATTTAACTTTGTTGACCTCTAATGGATGATAAACGAAGTAAGTTTTGTTAAATCCATGATACAAAAAATTACAGAGGTATGATACTTAGCCGACGAAATCTCGTCGAGTTCGCGCATGACGTATTGTGGTGTGGAATATGGTTATCTGATTGGTCATGAGCTGATTATAATTTATTTTCGCGCGCTGTTTTCGATCAGCTAATACGTCAAATTCGTAAAAGCCACGCCTTCCACCACATTACGTCACCGTTACGTGTAGTATCAATCTGCGTAGTATTATACCTTCTTTTTATAGTATCATGGGTTAAATCAACATATTTTGAGCCCGCAAATATGTGGTAGCTCCATGTACACACAATTTCCGAACGCGCTGTATATGATCATTGTGTAAATAAAAAAGCAAAGCCAAAAATTATAAAAGTCTTAGATAAGGTACGGCTTCTAGATGCAGTAATTTAGGAAACAAATCATTTTTATTATAAATTAGGCTGTAATTATAAAAAATATCATTATTGCGTATAGTTTAGAGAGACCAAAATAAAATTTTGTCTTCACTTTTGTAAATTTAATTCTACTATATGCTGCATCTAGCATATTCAAGATCTAAGGTAAACCTAAGAAAAGGGTCTCTTATTTTTGAATAAAATCAGTTTTATAGTAGATTAATAGTGTAAAGTTATTTTTACAAGTTCTTTTATCCAGAGTTTTATGTTTTTAAAACAATCTAATTATAATTACAAATGTAATAAATGCAGTTATTTAATACTATTAAAAATAACAGTGTTTCGTTTTAATTCCTTTTAATACAGTGTACCTCAAAATTTGCTATATGCATTTTGTCAAGTTGAAATTAATTATAGTCCTAGAAAACAACATTACAATAATTAATTTACTTAAAAATAGTTTTTTTTAAACATATGATTAACTGATATATTGGCCTAAAAATATTGTTAATAAGCTTTTTATACAGTTTTCATACTTCCATAAGTTTTTTTATTAATTTATTAAAAATACTTGAGGTTAGATAAAATAATTTATTAAAAATAGTCCAAACTTGTTCCTATTTTGTATCAAAGTACTTTGCTGTGAATTTTGAGTACCACTGAGCTTACAGGATGGACCAACAAAATGACTAGTAACCAAAAATATCTACTATCTTTATTGGTTTTTAGTAAATATTTTTGGTAAATTAATGTTGATCTGCCCTTTATGTATTTAATTCAATAACAAATCATAGTGATTACAAAGAAAGTTTTTTTTTATTTTTGTCCCCATTTGTTATATCTTTGTTTGGTGATATTTGCCCGCTTTTAAATTATTTTGTAATCTCTATGATAAGTATTGAATTTGACCTGTATGGTATAAATATTTAACATAATTGTGTGTTAAGATAAAAATGTAGATCTAATAAATTATTATTAAGGGGTCTATTACAATATGTAGTGGATAGAAAACCCTATTGTGAACGAAAATTATGTATAGTAGACTTCTGTGTATTTCACATGTTAAAAATATAAAATGATTGAAATAAACATAAAGAAAGCCTTATTTAATTTTCCAGTAATCCTAAAAATAGGTATGCTTAACTTAAATTCCCAATTTTAACAAAAAAAAGATACAAGACCAAATTTGCCTAGACTAAAATTTATAAGAATGTTCTAAAAGAGTTACAATGTAAATTTAAAATGGTACATATCCAGAGCTTCACAACTGTAATATAATATGCCTAATGACTTGTGGGAGTCCCCCAGAAAATAAAATATTTAATTTTGAGTTATACTTCGGGTTTGGCGATTATTGTCCAGGGTCTGGGTTTACTTTAAAATTATCCGAGTGCCGCCGATTTGGAATAATCGCACTTTTGCACAGCTCTAACTTTTTTGAGGATGACACTAGGACTTTTGGACCAACAGATGAAATTACCAACGTAAACAAAACAAAAATATTTCATGAGTAAGAAGTACAAAGTACATGTAGGAGATCTTAATCTCCCAATGTCTTGTAGAGGTATCTACATGGGTATTGAAATCCGACAACCGGGGGTTGATAATTAATTTTAATAATTCTTATATATTACATATTCAAATTTTTATTTCGAATTCAAACAACCCCCCAGCATCTCCCAACTCGTAGGCGCCATTTTATTACTTCTGGGAAAATAAATCGACGTGTAAACTGTAACGGCCATTAGCAAAAAGCCAGATGTAAAACGATAGGGCTATATTCAGGAATTAATATAGGACTTTATAGTCTTTATGCACCGAATTCACAGTCGTTTTCTTTCAGATACATTTGCATATATGGGAAATTTAAGTATAAATACCAGGGTTTTTGTGGGCTGGGGAATTAGCTTTTTCATCTTCACCGAGTCAAGTTAACAAAAAACGCAAATATCCACGTTACCGCTACGGTGACTCCTTTTTCTTTATATTCTTCAAACATAATTAAAAAGAGATATCGCTACCCTTACGGTGGCCGCGCTTTTGTTATATTTTGGGAACGGAAATAAAAGATATCGACGGAGTAGAGAAATTAGTTTCTATAAACGACGGCTTCTGCATAGATATCCAGTTGTCCTTAGGATGACCACCTTTTTCTTATATTTTATATATAAGTAAAAGGAGATATATATATAGTTAGGTTGACCAAGCAGATACACGTTGAATAGAACCAGATTTCGCTCCTAGAACTGTTTTATAAGGTTGCATCTACCGAGCGACTAAACTATTGGCGTAACTGATACTGGTGAGACCACGCTAGTATAGTTAAACGCCAGATATTTTATATCTCCGATTCAATATTCATAGAAAAACTAAAATCAACATTATAAAATGTTACTAAATGATTAAAAGTACTACTCTAGGCGACGTTCGTAGTAGATTTCGTCGCCCTTAAGGCTGACCCGACGAACTTGCGCCAGGTAGACGCTTTTATCAACGGAATACTTTTTTTCTGTAAGGTTTCTTTTACGTAGAATTAAAACGATAATCGCACTATTAAAGTAATCAAACTAGTATTTAATATTCATATATTCCGGGGGAGAGTTTAGATTAACATTGATGGGTTACAGGTATCACTTTATTACTTTTATATTCATTAGCGGGAAAATTCGCGTCTGTGTGTTATTGTCATATTTTTGCTATTCATTGATAAACGTGTATTGTGGGAAAAATATAGGGTTTTTATATTGTGCTAAATTATACTATTTAGAGAATCGATAGTGATGTTATCATAAATATTAATTGTTGTAAAGTCGGTCAACACTCTCAAGTAATAAATTAAGTCATTTAGATTTATAGCCAAAAGGCTGAATTGTAAAGTTTTGGTTGTCCGTAAACAGTACCTGCCCCTTTTAGTAAAGAGGAAACACACTTTCGGTTTTACTTTTAAATGGCAAACAGATGTAGACTAGTAGGATCAATACCTTGATTTGTGTATATTTTAAAGTTAGATTGTGTTTAAAAAATATTTTCTGTTGTTCTTTGTAAAACAAATATACCAAAGTACTTCAGACTTTTATTTTGCCCTTTTATGGGAACTAAAATCTCTGGAGGTTAGAAATGACACATTGGAAAGCCTACATAAACATAATGTTAAGCCTAAAAACGGCACATAATCTAAATGTCTGGCTATATAAAAGAATAGATGTTAAATAAACAGTATTCCAATTTAATCTCTGTGTTTACTTTGTTCTTCCTCCATTACAGCTACATTGAACTCTAAACATAATTGTGGGGGTTTTAACATCACTTCATGGGGACCCACTAGAAGAAATTTAGGCTAAGGTTAAGGGAATTTGGAAAACTAGGTTAGGGCCCTGTTTGTCAAGTTACAGTATCTACCAGGAAATATCATAACCTCCTAGAACCAAAATAGGTAGTTTGTTCACATATTAGAACATTTCCAACCAAAGATTTTGAAAAGCAGCCCACCAGCTATATTTGCTACAATACAAATGTTCAATAAACGTATGGCTTACTAGTTACAAAAAATACAACAATCTAACTTTAATAGTTTTTATTTTGTAATAATGCTTCTCTTATATGTTGGGATATTTTTACCCTTTTTCTTTTCTTTTTCTCTACCTCAGGTTGACCTTCTTTTTTAGATATTGTGGAATTTGATCCAGGTTTTTTCATCTTTTTTTTACAAGATAATGGATTAGGACCCTTTTTTTTCTTTCTCTTCGGTTTTTCATTACTAAGCAACAACCCATTTTTCACCTTTAGTTCTTCTAAAGCTTTTGCCTCAGAAGCTCCTACTGCAGATAATCTAGACACAGAGGCTTTAATTGATATATCAGAAGGTTTTTCTAAAACGGGTGTTTTCATATGTAAATATAATAATGGTACACCAATTATGCCCCTAACTTTATCTTGTAGATCTCTATCCTGTGTTCCCACAATATAATGATTCGGATTTGATTTTCCTAACATACTCAAAAAACATTTTGAACCTGATATTGGTTTGCCTTCATGTCCACATTTGTGGACTGCATACTGTTTTAAAACTAGAAGAGCCCCGTTCAGTTTGGAACCCAAACTTTCCATTTCTACAATAGCACATTGTGTAGTTAGTAGTTTTATTTCACCTTGTAGGTACCTTGGAATATTATCGGCAATATTGATCTTATTCTGAAAGGAATTAAAGCAATTTAAGTGTTTTTTTTATAGCCCAATAAAGGAATAAGAAGAACTATTCATTAAAAAAGAACTTACATTTAATGCACAGTAGCAGATAGTCCCATCTATTAATACTTGAAATGGTTGTCTAAAGCCAAAGTTGTTAATAAAGAATCGTAAATTTTTATTGACTTTTTTGTATCGTTTTACTTTCATTTTCTTAAGTTAAATTCAAAGTAATGTAAATTAAATTCTTTTCTTTCAAAACATAACCACATAACCACACTTTTAAATGAAAATGACATATGATGACAGGAGTGCGTTTAGAAACCACGCACTGCACGTCTGGACCCTATTCTAATGTATGTGATCAGACGCGTCCAGAGTAAGTGTTCTGTGGACGCGTCGTGCGCGGTTTCTAAACGCACTCCCGTAGAGTTACTGAGGTCGATTATCAAGAATCGAGAAAGTATCGATTTTGGTCTCGATTATTAAAAGTTTTTTAAATGCGATTACTCATCAAGGCGTATTGAAAACATCCATAGACGTATCATTAATCTTAAAAGAAAATATTTCACATGAATTAATCTTTTCAGTAAATATTTAATATCAGTAAAATTTTTTATTCTTAATTATTATTTTAACAGATATTCATTGTTTTCTAAAAGTACCGGGTGTACAAAGACACTGGTTGTCGATGTCGATGGCTGTAGAATACGGGCTATATCTTAGCGCCGCTGGATACCGAAATGCGTACGACCAATGATAAACTAATAGGTGTGAAAATTTAATAAAATTTCGATTAGAATATGATTTTTATAATTGACTTTTTTAAGGAGTTTTTATCATTGATAATAAGCATGACGCCCTCTAGCTGTAAAGCTAGGAACTTGAAAATAATTTCCAGTGATTCTGCAGTAACATGAAATTTTTAGCTGATGAACCCTATTGATTCTGAAAAAAATCTGATTAAAACCCTTAAACTATGAAGAGAATAATATAGAATAACAAGCATTATATATCTTTAGTCTAGTTTATTCTTGAAGATAAAAGCTTCTAGCATATTTTAAAAATCTTATCACAACTATTAAAGAACTGTTTGAACACAATGTTGAGTCCACATTTTTTGACATTTGATTCACATGGAGAAATATGGGAGGTGGGAGAAATCGATAATCGATTTCAAATTTGACACTGACACATGTCACGCAAAGCAAAAGTGACATGTGACGCAAACGCAAAAGGTTTCTAAACACAAATTCGGTTTTTTATTGTTCAAGAATTTTACAAAACTTAAAGTTAAATTGAAAGACTGCTCTGGTTCTGATTTTATGTTTAAATAAATTCAATTATAGTATTTTTAGTGTTAAAAATATATAAGCATCGCTATTAATTATTTAATATAGTGTAAAATATTACATAGCCAAGACAATGTCTTCTACGTTTGCTCCACAGCGTGGCCCTAAACCTCCTCCGGATCCTAAAAGCATTCAGAGAATATTAGATGAAAATGGACACTTAATTCAAGTTATTCAAGAGCATCAAAGCAAAGGAAAGGCCCAAGAAGTAATGCAAATGCAAACTACTTTACATAGAAACTTGGTGTACTTAGCAACTTTAGCGGACTCTGCTCAAAACGTTAATTCGTTATTGCCTGTAAGTACCCTAAATAAAGTAATGAATTTGATAGATGGTATCGGCATCCTCGATCCTATCCTATAAATTAGAGGGTTGTCAGATTGCACCTGTTTTTTGATATACCTACTTAAATATTTTTGACCATAATACATTTTGTAATATCTTATTAGCTTTATTGGTCTAACACCTTAGTAGTAGATGAACTTCATTTTATTTCTGATACCTACATTTTATCAAGCTTTTTATATTTTCACCATTTAATTAATTTTAGATTTTATAGGTTTTTC